GCCCTCATCTCTCATCAAAATGATGTCTCTTTTTTTTTTTTTCAGAGGCAATGTTTCATGACTTAACATCCATCTAATCTTTCTGTTGAAGTAAAAATGAACTCTTAGCCCACATAAATTAAAGAATCCAGAACTGTTTTCTTAAGGTACCATTACATAAATATTAGACTGCATTAGTTGGAATCACAGAGTGTAATTTAGATCTCTTTTTGGTAAGGAATATGCTTTGAATTTAAAACTGTTGTTATACTTGAATGCACCTGAAGTAATGAGATTACTGTCCTGAGTGAAGATTATAATGAAGATTAATTTTACATTGTTCTTGGATTAATTTTTCTTTTTTTTTTTCCACTCTTCCATGGGACAGTATATGACTATGGCAATTCATCTGATGTTTAATCAGAATTACTTGTTGTAGATAGTCTTACTAATAGCAGGAGTTAAAATAAGTGAAGTATTCAGAGAGTTGTACTATTACTAATGATAATAATAATCATTGTGGATGAGGGTGATACACTGCAGGAAGAAAGGGCTGTACAATGGCGATATTACACCAGTTTTATCACTGGCTTTGTCTTACCAGTTGTGGCACAAGTGAGGGCTTCTCAGAACAGCCAGGAATTGCCAAGAACACTTAATTCTGTCATTTTCTCTTGATCCAGCCCCACACAGTAAAGAAGGGTGATGGCAGAGAGCCGCAGCTCTCTTGTGTCCTGAGAAATACAGACTCATCCTTCTGTCCTGTGGATTGACTTTCATGGTCAGAGAAAGGTACAAGTGCCATACCTGCATTTAAATGCTTCTCTAAGCAAAATGCATTCAACAGCATAAATAATTAAACACTATAAACAAATTACCAATAAAACAGCCTAATAGCAAAGGATGTAGGATACTTGTACTGCATTAAAATAGATCAGGTCTGAAGTGACTGAATTATGCTTTGTCAGGAGGAGAGAGATGTCAATACTGCGGGGCAAACTCTAAGCAATCCAGATACCACAGAGTCAATTCTCCTGCCAAGGACTCCTAGACTGTCTCAAGCAGTGTGGGGAGAGTGGAGAAAATTACATCAAGGACACTCCTAAGCTGCTCTCAAAATTTTTCTGTGCCATCTGCAGCCTATCTTGGTGGTAATTTGCAATGATTGGACGTTGCTCGAGAGTGTTTTAATATTGCCTTACAGGCATGAGGTCCTGTTCCCTGCAAGCAGCATTCCCAAGGGTGCCCTTTTCCTTCAGTCACATGCCAATGGGTACAATGAAACGAGGTGTAAGTTAATTTCTTTGTTACACGCGGTGCTGTGAGAAATGTTTGTGTGTTTCAAACATTTTCAATGGAGAAGGGTGTCTTCATCTTTTTCGCTGCTCTTGCAGCTGCCCTGGGCGAGTGCGTGTTCCCGGAGCGGCGCTGAGCGGCAGCTCTGGGAGCTGGAGCCCCGGCTGCGCTCCCCGCCCCGGCTTCAGGGCTCCAAGTGCCACCGTGTGGTGAATTTGAGCGATAATTCCTATTTTTAATTTCAGACATTTCAGTCAGAGTGCCGTTTGCGATCTGAAGAATTTTTTCCACTGGTGACCTGTGTTTATTAGCTAATTCTGCGATATTCCTAGGTTTTGTTTCTTTTCTTCAGAATATTTAGTGCAGGCGGTGCAGTTCCCTTTGTCTCTTTGCTGTGTGACCTCCCCACATCACAGCAGAAAAGCCTCGTGTGCCCAGAGGTTGATTGATTGCTGCAGTTTAGTTTGTTCACTCGGCTGGGCTGAGGATGGATGTCGTGTCCTTTCTGTGTCAGTTTGGCAAATTAAAACTCAGTGATGGGAACCATTTCTACGGGGAGATTCCCAGCCTGCCAGTCTGAAGAAAAAGCAGAGGATCCTTAACCACAGGATATCATTTCACCAGTTCAGGCAAGCATTGGGTACTGAGATTTGCTGCACTTCTAATCAGAGCTGCTTCACAGATTGTCTCACTGCTAATTTAATGAGTGAATCTGACATTGCCCTTCTTTTATGCTCATCAAAACACTGCCAAGTGTTTTGATGTATTTTAGTTAATATTGATTTTTTTTTTTTTTTGTCTCTCTCTCTCTAGTAAAAATTACATGATTTCTATTTATATGCATTACAAGCCCAAGATTCACAGAGAGATGCAGCACTCCATTGGCTGAAAATCAGACAAAATGTCAGGTCTTCAAGCTTTTGGGGACTGATGTTGATAAAAATCTTGGAAAATAAAATATGGATTGAAAATCTTAGTTCCCAGTTTAGCTTCTATTAGTCTGATAGATAACTGGGGAGATAAAGGGTTTGGTATTTGTGGAACAGTGAGGAAGTGTTGACACAAAGAAAGGTGATGATATAATTAACCCCCAGGAGATACAGAGATATAATTATTGTTTGTGGGATTATAACTTGCTGTAAACCTAATCTCTCTATTGAATATATAATGTATATAAATTATCCTGTAATTGTAATTGTCAAGTTCTTAAGCTCAGGATCAAGACTTAAGAGGTCACAGATAAAGTGATTTTTTTTGGTAAGAAATCACCTCCTTTATTAATTTCTGTAGGAGCACGCACTGTCACACAAGTTTGACGTTTTCCCCAACAATTTATACAAAAGCATTTAAAAGTGTGTCATAGACCAAAGGTAATGCACATTCTCTCCATCTTTTTATGTTGATAAAGACATTCACTGTGGATTCATGTCAGCAAGTGCTGCATTCATGCTCTTGGAGTCTGGATTCAAGCAGTGCCTGGTGGTCTGCCTGAGGCTTCCTGCTGCTGCTGAACTTGAAGTCATGAGATGCTTGGAGCTCTGCTTGGGTAGAAAACATCAAACAAGGAAGAACACTTTTTTTTTTGCAGCATAATTCAGGTAATTGAGTGAATTATTAAAAGGTATAAAAATATTTGGTCCAATGGACATAATTTGTCCTACACTGCAGGACACCACAGCTCTCAGCATAAACCACATAAAAAAAAAGCACCAAAATACTATTGTTCCCATTTTAAGAGGAATAAGTCACTTTAAAGTTGTATAAAAATTTAAAGGAATTAGGGATAGAGATGCTCTTGATCCTCCTCTTTAAGCAAAAGAATATCACTTTTCCACCTGTACACCATGAAAGAGAGGTTGAATTCTGTTTCAGGTACTTTTCCCGGACTGTTGTCATTTATCCCCACTGTTGTGTGTAAACTGCTAATACAATTTAAATGGGCAAAGTTTGAGAAGAGACCAGGTTTGCCAGTTTTTATTGTTTCCCAGGTTCCCTAGGTCATTACAGAAATTACTGTATTGAAATTATTTTATTGATCAAAATAAAATCATACAAACACTTAAGGGAAAATGGTATAAAAATACGTTACAGTGCTCTAGGCTAACTTCAATAGGGAGATCAACGAGGGTCACGTATTACAGGGCAAAGAATGAAGGGCCTGTTACTCTCTAGCCAAGTAGGAAAAAAGATGGTCAAAGAAACAGTATCAAATAGAAACATTTTCCTGCATTCCTACCTCAGTTTGCCTGCACTTACTGTATTTGAAACAGACTTCCTCTTTCCCTTCCGAAGTGCACAGGGGGTAAGATTCAAACTGAGGCAGGGAGTTTTTAAGAGATCAGGACCAAGCTCCCAGCTCTCTGAGCCCTGAAGGTTGTCACAATAAATACTACATGGAACTGTGAATAATGGATAAGTACTGTGAGATTTTGAAACATTTACACGAGGTTTACAAGAGCCTTTTGTTTATCAATCACTGCCAAGTTAGAACTCCTGTGGAACAGTCAAATTCCCTCTTTCCTCTTGTTCATTTTGCAGTTTAACTCCTGTGGAGAAGATGAAACCATCTTAAAGACAGTGTATTCTCTCTTGTCAGGGCTTTGATGTGTGCCTTGTGCAGCAAGTTTGCTCCTAAGATTTAAACCCAAAAACCACCAAAGCAATTACTTTGACATCCTTTCAGGTCATAAAAGAAACCCTCTTTTTATGCATTAGAAAGGTTTCTGTATTACCAGCTATGTATTTACGCACTTTAGAAGGTCTGTGAGTCACATCCCTTTAGAAAGAAGGAACTTTCAAAGGAATATGAATTTTGCTTTAGTCATCTTACATGAAATAAGCAGTCCCCTGCTTCTTCTTAGATCAACTTAAATTGTTGGGGTTTGTTCCCATTTTCTGCTTAGCTACTAATAACCATTTTAAAATTGTAGAAAAAAGTTTTAGACCAAAACTCTGCTGTACTATTGTGTTTTCCTAAAGTGCAGGTGTGTATAACTCCATCTTACCATTAGATGTCACATCAACTTTGAATTCACAGTTGTGGATTGATTAAATACTAAGTCTAATGGAATCAGCTGCTTTAGTTGGCTGGTTTGCAAAGGGGAAGTTTTGGGGTCAGTCCCGTGATGTCACTAGAGCAGTTGGCTACCTGATCTTAAATACAGACACACATGGATACGTGATATGTCAAACTATTGCTAATCACACCATTTCCACAAGTACCTGCTCTGCTGAAATCACCATAATTGCCAGGCAAAATATGTAAAATTAATTCCTTGATTACTTGTGACTTAGGTAGCATTTATTAGACAAAAATACAGCCTAAATAATCCACTGTAGAACCTTGAAAAACAATCACTGCAGGAGCTTTGCACACTAAGAAAGCACAGAAAGGGGAAGGCAGGGCCCCCATCCCTCCTGCCTCACAGGCAGGACTATTTGATTACACAATTTAAAAAAAGGGAAGAAAATCAAAGGATTAGTAAGTTCTGTAAAGAAATAAAAAACACACAGAGAGGTAGTTGATATGGCTTCTCCTTTTTTTGGTATCATCTTTGCAACCCTAAGAAAGAAGAACATGAGTAGGTTAGGAAGACACTGCTTTTCAATTATTTGGGAGCAATAGAAAAGTATTTCAGGAAAAACTAGTCCAGGTTATGAGAACAGTTTTGTGCCTACAACAAAGCTGCCATATCAAGGATGTTATTACTGAATGTGATATCAAATGAATCTATGGAACTATATATTTTAGCAAGTGAATTTTGTTTCCCAAAATATAATATATAACAACTAGTTACATGAATCAGACAACAGAATAAAAAACCCTCACAGGTACACAGATGTGAAACACATTTGTCACTGCAATTATGTATAGTCTTGTATATGTAATCTTAAGTGGTATTTTTCAAGTTGCCAAAACTGGATATTCAGTATTTCCTTAATTGATGACAAACTACACTGAGATATTTTATATGAATTTATTTAATTATTCCAGCTCAGTCCTCAATGGATTTTATGTATTTCTCATAGGCATCTTCAGTCATCAGTTCATCAAGTTCAGCAGGGTTTGCCACAGTCATCTTGATAAGCCAACCTGTAGTTAGGAAATTAAAAAGAATTGGTAATATCCTACAAGAACAATTCATTCATGTTACTGCCTTATGAAAGCACTCCCAGCAGGAACAACTAGCCTTGTACCACTGGAGAATCAGCCAGCTTTTTGTGCAGGCAAAACAAGATTTCAGTATTTTAAAAATGAACAACCAATAAACTCCTCTTAAGAAAGAGCTTTTTGAGTCAGAGCAGTTGTGTAATTTAGTGCTGGCTGTGACACTGGCATAGGAGATACTGTCTGAAAATAATAAAGGAGCCTGACCTCTCAGTATCATGGTGTTACAAGATCTAAAACCCAGAAATGCAGTCAAGGCAAATAGATTTAATTTCAGCCAAGTGTATATCTGGAAATAAGATGTTGTAAAACACCTGTTCAAAGATGACACTGTGATAATGTTTTTATGTTAAATTTCACTGGGCTTGAACTATATTCAGGATATTCCATTTAAGTCTCCACACCATTAAACTGGAAGAACAGGAACTGCAGAACCATTTGTAGTAGCAAGGATCCACATAGTATTCATTATTGAAAGATAAAAGTGACTTCTTACCATCTTGATAACAGGATTTATTGACAAGCCCTGGATTATCTGCAAGGGCAGCATTAATCTCAGTCACTTCTCCTGAGAGAGGGGAGTAGAGTTCACTAGCAGCTTTCACACTTTCCAAAGCCCCAAACTCATCTGAAACACAATATGATTGAATGTTTCTAAGGGGAAAACAAAAAGCACTTCCGTTTGTTCAGTCAGACATTCTAGTGATGACCCAACCAGTGAAGAAAGCTTGATCTTGAGCAAGAAAATAGATTGAAGTCACCCATTTTATGACAAGGATCAGCAGTTTTAAATTTGACATTTATGCTCTTGAATTCTGGGGAATTTGTGTTAGCTGGCTACTACAGAAGGGACAGGAATTCCTTACATTTGGCTAATCCTTTGACTAAAGCCCCACAGCACAGATGATACTGACTTAGAAGAAAAACACGCAGCTCTTGCTGCAAGAGACTTAAATATGCCTTTTATCTACAATTTAAACCTTTTTATTTGTAATTTGATTACAAAATCAACACAGCCACAATTTCAGCAATCCCATTTTTCCTTCAGGAACACTATCAAGTGTTATATTTGCACTCAATGGAAAACACACATTAGTATTCAGAGGCACCACACTGGAAGCACCCAGCAGCTCTTCCCTTTTTCCTGTTTTGTAGGGAGTTATGGAAATGGTTCCTGGAGCAATGCTAATCCACAGCAGCTCTCAGACACAAGCAAACAAGACAGAGGCTGAAGGAACAGGGAGCTGTCAGAAGAGCAGATAGGCACCAGCACAAGGGATCTGAGAACAACTTGTTCTGGGAAAGCTTGGAATTAAACTGAGGCCAGAATGGGTAGAAAAGAGAAGAACTTAAATGGACATTAAATTCCTTCAAATAAAGCAAAACTACAAATTGGTTAATTAAAATCTTACACAGAGAGACCTTTTGTCTAATAGTCAGCATTCCGTATAATAGATTTGGCCAACGCAGTTTGATAGGGATCTATTCCACAGGAAGGATGGCAGAAGAAAGGCCTTCTGCTTTACCTCATAAACCCCATTCCTTTTTTAAAAATTGTCAGAAGATCATGACAATCTTTCCTTCGTGTACTACCAAGACAGCTCTCCATGTTAATACAGGGGAAAGCTTTTCATTTCTACCTGTTAAAGTTCACTTTCTTTAACAGGAAAACTTGCATAATTGAATGATGAAGAATGTAATATTTTGTACATCACTAATGAGCAAAAACTCTGATTACATTTAATACCCCAAAATTACTGATTCTCTATATTAATAGAAAAATTAGAGCTTGATATCACTTAGAAGTTTTACATATGCAACTCACAAAGTACATAACTGAAGGATTATAAATAAACGCTTGCAAGTCCAAATCAAAGCAGAAATATTTTAAAAACAGTATAGACAAAATTATTACAAAAAAGATTTCTAATACTTTATTTTTGAATAAATTTCTTCACAGTTTAAAAAGCAAGTATCTTCTGCTGCTAAGCAGTCTGACAATGAGAATTTAAAATTAAAGCTGTCTCTTGTAGAAATACCTGAATTTATTTTGCATCCAGAAGCTTTATAATGGTATTAATAACCATAAATATTATTTCAGAAAATCTATCTTTGCAAAGGAAGAATGGGATGAGTAGAATAATCACTTGAAGAGCAGCTAGAACTGAAACTTACCGTGTTTACTCAATTTTGTCCCAACTTCTGGAAGACTACAGTAAACAACGTCTCCTAATGCTTCCTTAAAAGAAAAACAAAAGCATCAGAGCATACACTAACAAAACTACACACAGGAGAGACCTGATACAGTAACACTAGAGTCTGCATATAAAAATCCTCTGTCTCTAAATATTGTTCTCATTCTTTACGGATTGCATATTTTTCACTTTTTCTTAGCAAACACTTAAGAACAAACTCTTGTGTTATCATGCCCCAAATACCAAATTATTATTTCTCTATTACAGTGCTAATAACCCTCAGGCTCAGTTTATATGCAGATTCCTTCTGGAAGGATAAGGAATAACACCTGCTGATCTTCTTAGCATCAGCTACAGAGGGCTGTTAGCACACAATTTGTCCTTACTGACTTAATTGGGGACCCTTATCACCATAAGAATTGGCTTAACTCTTCCCTGACACTTGTACTCTATCTCACAAAGGACTGGAAAATATTAGAGTTATTGACAGAAACCTGAGATGAAAAGAAATGCTGCTTGTCCTGAGAAACATTAATTCCATTTATTGCTAATTTGTCCCATTATTTTTATACAGCCCAGAATTTGCCTGTGACTATTCCAAATCAAGCACCTGCATGAGAACAAAAAGTCCAAAGGAATTCCTGTCCTAGAGTAAGAAATATATGGTATGCTGCACATCTGTTCACAACTGTTCTTTAGCCACAGGGATTTCACCATATTTGTGTTCAAAGGAAATTTGACCTAAAAACGTACATGATGTCCTCTTCACACAGCCATGAATTGCTCAGGCTTAGACCTCAACATTGAAGTTTCTCACAGAGTTCAGCTCTCCAGAGGCTCAATTTGAAGCTATTAAGACCATATCAGAATGCTGAGGTGGCACAAATATCACAAATAATGTGATAGACCCAGGTCCAAAAAATCATGCTCAGTGCATCGCATATGCAATTAAAACAATAAAAAAACTGTAAATGTCCAAAGAGCAAGGACAGAGCAGATAGGCATAAACAAATATTGGAGAGCTGGGAAAGGGGGGAGGATCAATACCTGCGCAAAATTGCTGATTCCTACTGTTCCAATGCCATTTTCCACAGATATCCATTCGTGCTTGTCTGTGAATTTGCGGGCTAAAAGGAAACAAACTTGACATTTCAGAAAGAAGTGACATGTTGCTCACTTAAACACAGTAACACATTTACAGGCTTAAACTGTGGGGCTTTTCACCGAGTTTGTTCATTTTTCTTGGAAAATATTTTAACCAGCACATGCAATTTACAGAAGCACAGAATATGCTCAGTGACAGGGCAGAGGCTCACTGGGTGTCCTGCTCAGAGTATTATCAGTTCCTGTGCAACCATCTGGAGACTGATAAAGTACAGGAGCAAAAGGAGCAGCTCTACTTCAAACAGAAGTACAAATCTAAAGCTTAGATGTGTATTTTACTCATAGTTATACATTTCTATGATAGCACAGTGGCTTCTCAAACATATTTAGTGTTTATTTCTGATAACTACTTTATTATGGCTGGGAAGGCCAGTGTTAGTGACTCTAGAAACACTGTGAGCATTACAGCATCTCATTTAAAGTGCAAAGCTAGCACACTTCTATGTAGTCTTAAGGCAAATTAATACAGGACAAATTAATAAAGCAACTCATACAGGCAACTGCTACTTAATAGAATTTGCTCTCTGTTAACATTGTTACTGTGAGAAGAACACAGTCGTTATTCTGTATCACTTTAAAATAGGTCTGTTAAAACCTTGTTAAGTCTTTTCACAGCAAGGTTACAATTCTCTTTATATTTTAGATCTGGAAGATTCAAGACAGCTATATTAGAGTCAATTGTTTTTATAAAGTCATATGGAGAAACATCAAAAGAAGTAACTGAAACAAACAACATTTTTCTTGCTAACATTTTTCCCAGAACTTTTCTTACTCTGAGAATTTTCAGCCTGTCACGTCTGTTTTCTCACTTCTACACAATTTTCCTCTAGATACCTTCCTACTTTTTATGAAAATTTTAATTAATTTATTTTTGCAGCTCCAGTCAGGCAAAGGATGTTGCAGAAGCTGGAAAAGGTAACTTCTGAAATAGCTCCCCGAGTCATTAGTGCCAGAGCAGTACAACTGCACCTTCCTTTTGAGTTCAAAATTCTCTCAAGCTCATCCTCTGGGCTGGACTCTATGGCAAACACTAGAGAAACTACACTTCTGCAAATTGTTATATATTTTCTAAAATTGTACACAAAGGAAAACAGATGCTCTCACTGTAGACCTGCTAAAATCTTTCCAGACAGTCAATACTTTAAGCTTCTTCAGTTGCAGTGATCCTCTTGTGTCTGAAAAGTTCAAGAGTAGCAAGTCTCAGATAAAACAGTTTTTCTTAGAATCAGGTCCAAGTTTTATAGAGCTCAGTAAAACAATATGTGGGATTGCAAATATAATACACAAACAAACATGAGTAAACTGTAAATATATTCTCCCATGAATTATCAGTCAAAAATCCACAGAATTTCATCTAGCACTACTTATAACTACAAAAAATCTCATTACACACTCTAATGAACGAGCCTTACATGTCTCAAATCATTTCGGGTCAAGATGTTAGACCCATGGGAATTCAATTGGAAATGAGTAATGAACCGTAAGAATGGAGAATGACAACTGACAGATCTTAAACCCAAGCTGGACATTAGTGATGTTACACATGACACAAAGAAGCCAACCAGTACAGTTTTATTTAGGATAATAATATTGCATAGAATCTGTTTATAAAGCAAGGATAATAAAAACCCAGAAGATTTTCACATGAGTTTGGAATACAGCAGTGAAATGTCCTGAACAGTTAGAAGAGCATGTAACTTTCTTGCAGGACAAACAAAACAAAAAACCAAATCTGAGCATGCAACAAAAACACTGCAAATAAAGAATAAAGTAAAGGTCAAATTAAAAACAGTTAATAAGTAATCTCAAAATTTGAACTTTGAGCTTATTTGGTCAGTCCATTAAATAAATCAACCTAAATGAATATGAAATGTCAATGCATACCAAATCTCTCTCTGCATTCCTTTACAGAAGAGCAGCTGAATTTACTCTAGTTTCATTCATTTCAACAGGACTTTGGTTTCAGCTTAACTAGCACATTCTGAACTCAGCCCTTCATTTAGTGTAACCTGCCTCTATTAAATATTTCATATATACCTGAACAGTGAACTCACACCTCCAGAAAGAAGTATGCACAACTTTTCCTCTCTGCCTCAAACGCACTGTTTCCTTCAAGTGATGTGTATAGAAAAACAATGAATACATTGACCAGAATAGTGAAAAAAAACCCTTAGATCTTGACTCTGTTTGCAAGTAACAAACAATAAATATTATTTCTTTCACTTGCAGCAGAAGGCAATTAAACAGGTAGGTTTAAGATTGTCTGGAAAGAAACAGATGAGCTCTTAGTGGCAGTCATTACTTTTACAGCATATTCTCCTCCTCGCCTACTTTTTAAACATTTCTGTTTGCAAGAGTACCGCAGATTGTGCTTTTCAGACTTTCACGGGTAACTTCCATTCAAAGAGAGCTTTGAGAGCAGTGGATGCTTTCAGAACTAACTACACCAAACGCAAACTCTCAGCAAGCACTGATGCACGAGCCCATCCCGTGCCGCTGGTGCAGCTGTGGCTGCCCAGGAGCCAGAGCCAAACTTGTGCAGCCCAGAGGGCTCAAGGCCCTGCAAGCCTGGCTGGATCTCTCTGGCTGCCCACGCCAGTCCCTGCTGCGGCTCTGCCTCCGCCAGACACCCACCCCTGCCCCTTTCTTGTGCTGCTGCTGCTCCTGGGAGCCAACATCATTGTTTGGCAATCCCGGGAAAAGCGATCCGCTATTTTGAGCAAGAGAGTGTGCTCCCCGCCCGGCCCACTCCGCGGAGCCCCTTTCTGGGACCAGAAAGAGACTGAGCCGCTTTGCTCAAAGCTGCAGCGTGGAGATGAGGTTAAAGGTTTCTGGCCAACTAACGGAGTTGAAGCTGCTCCTGTGGGAGCGGGGTCGGGAGTGCCAGAGCGTCCGGGGGCAGGTGAGGGGGTTCAGCCATCTTGCGAGGTTCTCCGAGCCCCGCCGGCACCGGGGGCTCCGGGCGGCTGCAGCATCGCGCTCCGAGGGGCCGCCGGGACACGGCACGGCGGGAGGCAGGGAGGAGGGAGGGAGTGACGGACGGACAGAGGGACAGAGGGAGGCTGCCGCCCGGGGCAATCAACGGGACCCACGCTCCGGCCGCTCCGCGCACCCAGTCCCGCCTGACGGGGGCTCCCCCGTGGGCTGGGCCGGGACGAGCCCCCGCAGCCCACCCTGCCCACCCTCCCGGGGACGGGTACGAGCACCACCGGCTCCCCGCAGCACCGGGCCGCTGTCCCGCCCGCCCGCCGCGTACTTCCCTCCCTCGGGCCGCCACTCACCGGACAGCAGCAGCGAGCTGGTGCCCAGCCTGCGGGCCGCGGGCCCCCGCGGTGGCAGCGGGAGGCGCGGGCAGCGCGGCACCAGCACCGGCCCGACCCGCCGTAGCGCTCGCCACGCCATCTTTGCCGGGGGCGGGCGGGGGCGGTGCCGGCGGGAGGTGGCGATGGCGGCGGGGCGGAGCCGGCGGAGGCCGAGGGGACCCGCGGGCCGTGAGGAGCGGCCCAGGCTCGGCTCCGCGCGCCGCCAGCCCCGGGCGTGGGGCGGTCTGAGGGAGCCGCCATGTTCCGTGCGCCGCCGCGGAGGAGAGGGAGAGGATTTAGCCAAACTGTGCAACAGCCGCTCGATGTTTATTAAATAAATACAGGCGCCAAGTCTACAGAAAGTGCACGTGGGACGTTTCGCCTTAGGGTTACCGCTATTTCTTAGCTATTACTCCAGAATAACACGCCGGCAGCGCTTTGGGAGTGAACGCGGCGCCGTTTTCCCAGAATCACAGAACAGGCCGAGTTGGAAAGGACCCACAAAGATCGAAGTCGAACTCCTGGCCCTGCAGAGACACCCCAGCAATCCCACATGTGCCTGAGAGCATTGTCCAAATGCTTCATGAGCTCTCTTAGGTTTGAGGCCGTGCCCATTCCCTGGGGAGCCTGGTCAGTGCCCGAACACCTTTCCCTAATATCCGACACAAACCTTCCCTGACACAGCTCCAGCCATTCCCTTGGGTAAACCCATTTTAAGTAGAAGCCGTAATAACCTAAGCTTATAACCTAGCCTAACTCTAAGCACTGCAGCAAACAATTAAATACTTTGCCCACAAGCAAAGTGATTTTTCAAGGTGGTCTTCATTCACTCGCTGACAGGTTGTTCTAGTTGTTCACCAGTGCCTGGCTTCTCTTCCTTCTTGCATTTTATCCCAAAGAAACTGAAGAGTTTCATTACCATTAGATCAACAATCTCCTCTTCTTCTGAAGCCTGAAATAATAACAAATAAGTTGCTCAGAGGTGCACACCCAAAGTGGATTCAGTCTCTGCTGAAGCCAGGGCAAGTTGCAATACAAAATCTCTTCTTGACAAAGCCAACTTTCAGCAGAGCATGAGTGACTGCCAAGAAAAACATTCTGCCAGTATTTTTATCACGACAGAAGCCCCAGATAAGTATGGACACTACAGAAATTTTGGCTGTCAAATCCCATGGAAATCTCTCTACAGGAGCCTGGAGTGCACTTGCCAGCTCCCAAACAGCTCATGGTATACACAGTGAGACACTAGATGAAGTAAATGAGAAAAATGAAATATACATTGTGTCTTCCATCAGTCATATCCTTTGTTTTCATTTCCCTTGAACTTATTTAAAACACAGAGGAATTCCGGGCAGTACTGGAGTGCTAAGATGGATTTCACATCACACTATCAATAGCTTGAATGGGTCAGGCACTCACAGTGAGAGTTTTAAAAGGAGCTGTAAAGCCCCACGCACTTCAGTAGCAGTTTTGGCACAGATTTCAATATAGCCCAGCACAAGCCTAAGAGATTTTTGATCGATGTAGCATGCAAACAGAAGGCTACAAATCAGATACAAAACAGGGACTCTGGTCTGAGCAGGGATGGACAGTGTAAATCTGGAAAATCTAAAGTGTACTTCCTGAGCAAATGTTGCCTTCTTAAGAATTGGACTGAATTTACATGGTTTTCATCCATGGTTGAATACATAAGTACTGACCAAAAAAATGTTAAAAGCAGAAGAGCTTAGATGAACAAACCTGGTAATGCTTCTGCTCCTCACTAAAAGCAACCAGAATCACCGAAATGAACAGATTCAGTACCACAAATGTCATAAAAATTATGCAGGATCCAATTAAGAAGGAGCCTAAAATTGGATTGTAGTCCAAGACCTGTATAAGGTAAGACATAAAAAAAACCAACCAAAAAAGTGTATATACATACCTACATACATACATACATGCAGTTAAGACCCAATAAGAAGTCTGTCACCTTGAAAATTGTGTCTAATCAATTATGATATATGTATTATACACATACGTTAATTTTCTACTCTAGTATTGTCCTTTGTTGATATGATATTGTATGAAGACAACATAATATTTTATCTATATATGTGTGTGTGTGAATATGGGCAATCTTTGGAGGGCTTTAAGTATTTGCATTTTATTGTAACAGTATGACAGTTTCACATGAAACTTGACAAGTGTAGAGATCTATTTATTCACAGAACAGCTGAAGCTTCCTAATGCTTCAGCTTTCAAAATAGATTAAATCCCTGTATGCAATTAATTTATTTTACTATATGCTTTACAGAGAAGCACAGTCAGACTGTCAGAGACACTTATAAACCAAAGGTTGTGAAAAATCAAAACACTAAATTTCATATAAGCTACAACATAGGAATAAATTTTCATTATTAACATGAGTGGGATGTGGAGGTGAAAATGTGCTAAATTACTGATCTTCAAAGCCACCCATATCCTCTTTGATCCATGGTCTAAAAACATGCATCAAGGAGGACTTTAGAGATGTCCAAGAATTAATCCACAAAGAAATGTTCAAAGGATGTTGAAATATTTAAAAGATCTTACTGAAAAAGCAGTATATGTAGAATAACAAAAAAAATTAGCAGGAAGTTTTTTTGTGGAAGGTCTTGCCCCTCTTGGGACGATAGAGGGGGTGTTCAGAACAAACACAGGGCTTTGCTCACATTTCTATCTGCAGCTTTGTAAGGAAATTGCTCAAAACTTTTTTGTAATCAATTAGTAACATCTGTAGTTGAAATGTGAGCAGGTTTCTTAATGAAAGGTTCATTATGAGCCTCCTTGTGGCCAAAATAGGACATGGAAGAGGTTTCACTTGATGTATTTTTCTTGCTCAGAAAAGGCGGCTGCTTTAGGAAGCTGTGGAGCTTGCAAAATTAGATTAATGTTTAACACTAATTGAAAGTTCTTCCATTTGCTGGGTCAAAGCATGTTTGATAGCTGATGTGCCAATTGCATGGCTGTAAACTTCCCAAAATTAGATGTGGTACCTCCTCGTAGTTGAAGATTCCCAGCTGAAGACTGACCATGGTCTCTGCCGAATCAAAGAGAGTTTTGTAAGAGTAGAGCTTCCAGCCAAATATCAGGTTTGCCTGCAGAGGACAGAAGTCATGTCTTGTGTCGTTATCAGAGTCCTTGCTGTAAAATGTGTTTAGCTTGAAGACCTTTTATCACGGATATGAAAATGTCTTATATCTGCTCAGCCTGCCACTAGATGTGTAAAAAAGATAATTATTTCCCACTTATAAACTAGTCAAACAGAAAATGGCACTTTCTGAATGCTCCACAATTTAAACTTTATCCAGAAAATCTTTCTTTCTGTACTTTGTTCTTTGTCATATCTATTACACATAGAGAGTCCTTATTTTTCAGCTTGGTGTTTGATTTTTCACTAAATTTCTGTTTGCAAAGAACAGAAGAGTGGATGTTTTAACTTCTCTTTCACTCATACAGAAGACTTGGGCTCCAAGCTGCTAAACTTTTGACAAGCAGCTTTATTCCCTTTTACATGGCAAAGCTATATTGCTTTAGCATTCAGAATAGTTGATTTAACCTGACAGTACCTGGAAGCCAACTGCAGACAAGAGAAAGCACCATGGTACTCACAGCAATGGAATAGGCGAGGAACATGATTGCAATAATAGTGATGAATCCAGAGATATCACCCCATGCCCTCCTTAGTGTTGATGTGATCATGTTCAGTTTAGGGTTAAGCCTCAGCAGATGCCACAGTTTCACTGTGGAGAGAAGCACCAGGAATGCAATTAGGTAGCCAAGAATGGCATCAGCTCTCGCTGTTTCACTGAAGCATATGGAGCTGTTAGGAAAAAAAAGAAAATACATAATATATACCATGCATACAGAATCCTTTGAAGTGCATAAATGGGTATGCTGGAAAAGCCAGTCACCCTGTTCTGGGGTTTCAGTGGAGACCTAATGAGCTCCTGCTTGAGTGTTCCCATCTGCACTTCCTACTGTGTGCACACAAAAAGCTCACTTGTGCATGGCTAAGATTTTTAAGGAGAAGAGGTCTAGGATGTAGCCCAAATTCTGCTCATTATCCTGTGATTCTATTGTCTCTTTCCTGTGTGACCATTTTTTAAAAGATGTTACAATTTTCAATTCTGTACTAAATATTCCAGTATTCCATTGGTCCTCTAACCAATGGCTTTTCATAACGAAGAACAAGGCAGGTTATGTGCTTTTTGGGATCATGTGCTGTAGCAGAAAGGCTTGTTGGTTCACAAGAGGGTGATGCAGACAGAAAAATATGAGCTAAAAAAGGGAACTTGGTACTCAAGTCTGCTGGATTTTATTAGAGCAGTATCAGAAGAAAATCCTACTGCTGACACAAATCGAGGCCCTGACACACTTACAGTCTTCATGAATATATAGCCATCTAAAATAGCAATATCTAGCACAGACAAGGTGCTGTCTGGTAAGAGGAAAAATATATTTATTTCTGCATAAGTAGCAACAACAAAGGATGCACTAAATAGCATTAGTACTTACTCCTCCTTGTGTTCCTGGTAGTAGCTGATGTCTCGGGTCCCAAGGACTGTCCGTTTCACAAACACTGACAGAGCACTCCAGCTAATCAATATAATGGCCATCTCCAGGAGATTCCACTTGCTGTGGAAGTATCTCCATCTCAGACTCTTCAGCAGCTTTCCCTGTGAGGAGTTTTACTGTTTCAGTCTCTTGACTCCGTATCATACAATGCACCTCTGAACATTAGGGCAATGTCTTCCACAATAAAGCAGACTGCTTTGCATTAATAAAATCACATCTTGCACTAGTTTCTCATTATCTTTCTCAAAAACATCATCCAAGCCAAATGAAGTGTTGCCTTCCTATTATTTAATACTGACACTATATCTGTTCAGTCTTCCATTTTGTAGCAACATCAGCGCTACTGAAATCAAGTACAGTCCTAAAGCTTTTGTAAGTGAAATCAACAGCAGGCACAAGATAATGCTCTCAGCCAAACTTTCCCTTGGCCTCACCTGTACTATCATGTAGTACACAATAAAGAGGAAATAAATGACTTCTGCCGCAACCACAAAGATGTGGAGGCTGTTGGTGTAGGGGTAGAGCCGGACACTTTGCAGCTCTGCACTTGTGAAGAAGGCCCCTAAAAAACAAACAGGGATCACCTCAGGGCTCCTTCTACTTTCTTTCAAACAACTCTGTTCACCAGTGAGAATTCTGTACTTGCTTTCACATCATTGTGAAGCTGAATCCAACCATCAAACTAAGATTTAGACTTGACTATGTCAGTAACTCTATAAGTGTTTGAAAATTTCCTCAAACAGGAATTTCAGAGCATCAAGGCTTTTAGAGTGGTAGTGCTTGTCTGCTTGAGTCTTGTGTGATAGCACAATAGTAATCCCAGCAGGACTGAGTTTGAATTGGACTGCAAATGCAGAAATACAGCAGGAGGACTTGGAATTTTTTTAAAAAAGCTGAATCTCATTCCAAACCTGAAGTGAGCTCAGTTTGGGCATTATCCAATACTTGGACACACCCTATGGAGGCTGCTGCTCAGACCAAATGTTTTCCTATGGTCTCTAAATCAGAATCTGCTTTCACTAGTCTCTTTGTTGTATCCAGATTATATATTACATGATTACATAGATATATATTCGAGGTCATCTGGAACAAAAGAGACACACTGTTATTTGTATTTTTTGTCTTAATATTGTATCGATTAGCAGAATTGATTAGGAAACAGAATTTTTCTTGTTCTTGTGTAAATTCTGGAGATCAAGTTTCAGTATAATGTTTTCATCATCAGCAGATGATCACAGCATAAGCAAACATAAGATATTCCATTATGGTCTATATTACTGTGATGCTGCATTTTTCCTAAATGGTTTAGAAAATTTGCGTTGATTCTCTTGTGATTTGATTTATTAATACACTTGTCCTTAGTGAAGAAAGAACGAGGAAAACACTGCTAGTGTGTAAATCTATTTTCTGTAGGTACACTGCTTGCTGTCTTCAGAAATGTGTAACTTAGGAAAGGCTCTTACCTAAAGCATTGCTTTCAAACATCAGACTTATAATGCAGAAAAGGTTCACGTTGGCATTGTAGACTGTAAATTCAACAAACACTGCTCTTGTGAAGGTGTCAAGCCAGATGTTGTTGAAAAGGTATTGGAGAATTCTGCCAAAAGAATGTGTAGCCAGTGATCTAATTCATATGGGAATGAGACAGTATCACAGGGAGGATGCACTGATAATTTCCAAGAACACAAGTGGTACCTGGAGGCATTTATAGGGTCAGTTCCCAGGTGAATCACATATCCCCCTCCGCTGTAGATGGCAAGTTTACCCCAGCTGGGGTGTCCTCTCAGTCTGGACTGACTCTGATACTGCCATGCTGAGCTCAAGTCAGAGGAGTTATCAAAGACTGAGGTATTCCAGTGCTCCCCATAAATGGATGTATCTTCTGTTTGTAGGGAGTATGGAGCGTGGCATTCTTCAACTATGTGCTGGAGTCTGGGAGAAATAGGGCAGGTGTCTCCTTTCACTCTTACTTGGCGAATTCGAGCACTACCCACCAGCTTGGAATTGCCATCTGTAATGAATCCTAAACAGGAGATGGAAAAGAGCAGCACTGGCAATATGACAAAATTAATAATATTTCTTCATTTTATTTATGATTCACTGATGCATTAATATTTTTCCATATATTCTTTTCTTGGAAACACCGTAAGCAAAATAGTCATGAAAATGAAACCCTCATGTTGATTTTAACTGGGGTCTTAAATAACATTCTCAATAAGAGAGTTCTGTGTCACCCCCATCTGTATTTTATACAAAAGGAAAGTGAGGCCTGCGGGAGAAAAGTGACTCACCTCGAGTCCCATAGAAGAGTAGCTTTATGCAGTGTTCTTGTGGCCTATCATGTCCAAAGAACAGCTCTGCTAATATATTTCAATACTTACCATTAAATTTGAGCTGGAAAATGGGTCATATTCTACTGGATATGGCTAGATAGAAACATGTTGATATTGCATAATTTGCCTTCACATTGACCCAAGTCGTGATATGAACAACTCCCCTGAGGAAAAGCTTTATGATGCCACCTGTCTGCCATTCTGGTTTTGTTGTTTTGTGTTTTTTTAATTATGGAAAGAAAGATGTGTAAAACTGAGGATATATCTGAATATCTGGAGTAAGTAATATAAAATGTGAAAAGTTTAGCATTGCGATGAATAACTTTTGGGTTATATTAAATATAAGGAAGATATCAGGGGATGTTTAACTTGGGGTCAAGCTGTGAGGTTTTGTTATCCACTGGTATTCATATTAAAAGATTCCTTGCTAGCCTCATACACTCACAGTCCCTTTCTCCACTCAAATATGCAAGTTAGAGATAAGCATTAAAAATAATGTTTCAGAATCTGGCAAGCAGAAGGGAAACAATGTGACTCTGCACCTTTATATGATCCATAAAGATTTTTGAGTAAAGTAGTGTTCGCCCACGTGAAAAAATCCTGGTAACTGTAGACATCGTGGAATCCATCCGTAAAGCTGTCCTTAATATGCTTGTTTAAATAGTAGGAATTGGGATCTCTCTGCCCATAGGCAACCAGTAACAGCATCCATAAAAATCCCAGATAGGCTGGAAAGAGAACAGGGAGAGACAACACATGTGAGCTATGGCTTACCAATACTGTTCAAAACAGATTGTATGAATGATTGCTGCTGCCAGCAGCCATTAGGCCAAGGAGGTGCTTTGTAGACTCTGAGTGGCCAGTGCTAATGAATGCACCCAAACTGCTTTAATGTGCAGCAGTTTAAGCATTTCACATTTGGAATATGAGTAGCAGTCAAGAAAATAAGTGGGAAGGCTGAATAGAAGTAGTCATGGCAGCTCCAAATAAAATGAGTGGACTAACTTTGTTCTAAGTGAAGTTGAGGTAATTTTTTTTTTTTTGCCATTGATTTTAGAGGAAATAAGACAGGGACATAAATCATTATCTATAGATACTATCTGCTTTTAGAAAGATGGCCTCCATCTTCTCTTTGATTTCAGCTTCATTAACTACTAACCTCCTCCTTTTATCCTTTCTACTTTTCTTTAATCTCTCATGTTTGTGATGTGTTTCTTTACCATAAAATGAAGCCTTAGCCACACTTTTATCTCCAGCTAATATTCCCACCTCCCTGCAGCTCCAGCTGCCATGGAACAGCCTGTATCTACATCACAATGTCTGACAGAAAGCTGAAGATATGCCAAAACTTTGTCACCCAAGAGAACAATATTTTCACTGATGTAAAATTCCTGATGAGTATTACTGAATAAAACAAGATAATTTACATATGGATAATACCCAGGATTTCTCTGATGAGGGCAAATGCTTTCTGCTCCTTCATGCAGCTGATTTTCATTTTCTCCACATCAGCAGCAGCAGGTGGCTGGTAAATATTGCTTCTACTGTCCCTTCGGACCCCAAAAAGAGGGTGTGAATCACCTGTGAGGGAGAGCAGTGAACCCTGGAATTAGTCATTTAATGATCCATGTCCTGCTTTTTGTTTGTTTGGACTTTCTAAGGAAATGGTTCATCTAATGCTTTCCCTCTGAATACAGAGGATATGATTTAAAGCAGTTGTAAGGCAAACAGTGGGGAGGGAAGGCGCTCACAAAAACTGTGTATTTGGTTTAGGACCAGATGTGGTCCAGGTGTCTCTCTAGGCTGAGCATCTCAGAAGGTGCGGTATTCATAGCCTGAGGCTGAGCAGGGACGAAGCTCTGGATCAGATAACTTTGCTGTGCCCTAGGATTCCTGTCTGCTAGTGAAGGCTTTATTTAGATATGATTATGATTGCACAAGCCACTGTTCAGTTTAGGGGAATAATACAGATAATTGTGGCTGTGGAAAAGTATGTGACCTGAGAACCTCCATATAGGGCTTAAAGGATGTGGGAAATTTCTTTATGAGAGGTTTTATTTGGATAAAGAGCTACCAGTCTACATGAAGGGTGTGTTTTGTACAGAGTCATTTATTTTCACTAAGCTGTGGAATAGTTACAGGTTTTGTTGCAAGCCAGTTGAGCTTAGTCACAAATTCATTCATAAAGCCCTCCAAAAGCTTGGAGAATTCTGCACTTTCTTTAATAATTTTTAACTTTGCAGGCAGTTACCTGGTACAGATAAAGACCCATCAATAGCTGTGTTTTCTTCATCCTCATGTTCCACGTTTTTCAGAACCAGAGCAAAAAAAGCAGCAAATCCCAGCACCTGGAAAGAATCAGCTATAGAATCACCATATTCCCATTTCATATAAAGAAGCCTTATGCTTTGACTTGGGTCCCTCTGGATCCAGGCACTGCAGGAAAACAGTTGAACTCTGGGTTTGTTGAACCCATGCAGCTGAATCCCATAAACGATGCACAGTGCTGGGGTTTGTCCAGCTGACTTTGTGACACATCCTCACTGGTCAGAAACCTCATTAAACCTTGACAAAGCAAGGAGGGTGAAATTAATGGAGTTAATGTCAGCAAAAAGTAACTCTGTAAACCACCTGCCTGCTCTTGTTTTGAGGGTAAAGACTTCTCATTTTATATGTTAAATCCTGTAGCTCTTTAGAACATGTTACATTTTCTTCCTGCAGTGGCAGCAGGTGAGTTCATCTTGACCAGTGGTTGTATTTCTGAGGCTCTCACCTTTAAGGGCTGTGTGATGAAAAGACTTTCCAAGAAGGAGATGACCATGGAGATGAGCCACTTGATGGAGTTCTCCTTGCCATAATGGAGTCCATAAAGCATGGTAAAGAACCCAGACACACCGCTGGTGGCTGCCACAAGGAACCAAGCAATGAACACAAACCACCAGGGCAGCCCTCTGGGAGAAGAACTTTTCTTGTCATCACTGGGCAAGTTTGGAGTATGGGACCACCTTGAAAGTCAACCAGAAGAGAAAATAAACCACCAAAATCACAGTCATCAGGTTCACTGGGAATAGGCAACATCTTATGATATAAAATCAAAATATTCTTTTAATTAATGCAGTTATATAGGATATATGGATACCAAAAAGTACGGTGAGAAAAAAAGAGGAAGCATGCAGAGATCAGCTAAAATCAAAATAAACATGATGAGCCTATTTACTCCTCAGTTCATGCATAACTGAATCTCCAGTAGAATTATTGACAAAGCTCGAGTGCATTAAAGCTGCTGAATGCATCTCTTGTGATCACCATAATGGTCAAGTGATGTAATTAGTGCAATTTTTCTTCAATACTTCCAACTTAATTATCATATTTAACTGAACTATTTTTGTCTGGTTATTAATTTTTCTTTATCCATACATTTTAAGAGACTTCTGTAACTTTGGAGCTGGGTGATTATCCCAGCCCTTCACTATCACATAGCATTGTATTGTAACTTTCCACTTTGGAGAAAAAAATGACAAACAGCAATGATCTGTCATTATTGCCTTTGCAGTTCACAGTACACGGAAATGTCTTTGTAGCTCCTGCAGTAGTATAGTAGTAAGACTTATTTTACAGATGTAATAGTAGTTACTTAGCACATGTTAAGCAGTAATTATTTGGGCTCTGTCATCCTGTCCAATTTTGATTTTATAACCTGAATTTACTTATACTGAGAATGAGAACTGGCTTACCTCTCAGCGATGGATGCTGATGAGCAGATTTGGTTCTCCAGGAGGTTCTTCATGTGCTGGACCTGACAAACAGCTTGTGTGTAACTCTGAGGCATCTGAAATTTATGGGGCCCCAGTAATTCCAGCTCCATCTCTACCTGCTGGAGTTGTTTGTACAAGCAGTGATGGTAATCACTGTATTTCAGCTGGTCACAAGCTCTCTTCTCTGGAGTTGGACTTCTTGTTTTTTCTGCAGTTAAAGATTGATTGATTGATTGATTGATTGATTGAGAAAATAAATAGTTTTTAAAAACTGTTCAATACAAAGGGTGGTAGAACTGGAGCTACAGGTCATGAATGTGATGAAGACTAACATTTGAAGGGACATGTAAAAGCAGCTTTATTACTAGAGCTTAATGCTCTTCTGCTGGAATGGCCTGGAACTTTTTCCAGAAGGCAACTGAGTTAAACAGCAGTCCTAAAAGCTCAATAGACAGGTCTGATCAGATCAACTTTTAATTTGTTCATGGTGTACCTGTGCAATTAGTAGATTGGAAGACTCCCTGGAAAAGCCAAATGAAATCAGTGAGGTTGTTTTTGCTCATATATTCTTGTTAATTTAGAGTCAGACTGAAAGGAACAACAGCACAAGGCCAAGAAGAAAAAAAAGAACAGTTCAAAAAGACTGTGAAACAACTGATAACTGTGAGGTTTTTTGCTGGTAGATACTGATCCGGCACCTGAGCCAGACTGATAGCAAACATTTGATTCTACAGCACAAGAAGCAGAGATTTTACAGTTGTCTTTATTTAGTTGGGTGCTCAGTGGTGCAGTGAAAGAACAAGAAGCAATGGGCACATCTTAAAACATGGGAAATTTCTGAACATAAGGAAAAAAACATAGTTATGGGACTCTGGAGTAAGTTGCTCGGAGAAATTGTTAAGTCTTCATCCTTGGGGACATTCAGCATCTGACTGATTTTATCTTGGGCAATCCAGTTCCTGCTGACCCTGCTCTGAGCAGCGTGGTGGGATCCAGAGATCCCTTCCATCCTTAGCTATTCTGTGATTCTGTAGTTGCCTTTGAGTCAGAATGTAAGAAGAGCTTGGATCATCACATCCAGTGCTATCATCATCTTCATTGCAAGGGTTTCAGCAGGCATTTCACAGTGTGTTATTTACCTTGGATATCCATAGCACCCAATGTGACAATTATGGGGCCATCCTTCTTGCTCTCATCATAAAACCCTTGCCCAGCTCTGTTCTGCTGACAGATGATGTCCTCAACCAATGACAGGAGTGTGTTGATATTCATTGATTTTTCAAGGTCTGGTGCTGAGGTGAGAGATGGAGTCTTCAGGGCTTTAGAGAGTGAGTTGGCAATTCTTCTTATGTCCTAGGAAAGACAGCAGCAACACAGCAGTGACTCTGGCTGCAGTGGCTTAAGCTGATGTGATCTGACAGAACCACTGGCTGGGAGCTGCACCAACTGCTAAAATCTCCAGAATGGATAAGAATAGCACATCCTACAGTGCTGGATGTGACAGGCAGATTTCAGTGAGTTCAGCAAGGCAGCTTTTGGGGTTCAAGAGGGCAGCATGCCTGCCTGAGGACCTAAGCCGAGAAAGATGTGGTCCATGATACCTTTTATCTTCACTGTCTTGTTTAGTGTTTGCTTTAACACCTGAACACAGTGATTTGGTCACACACAGTTACTGTGCAGGGGTTGGGACGTACAAAGGCAGACCTTAACCAAGGATTGCATTTAGGTGGGTAAATGAATGTTTTGCACTAGTGATAATTGGCTTTTCTCTTCAGACAGGCTTGAATGGCATCGGAACAGGGAAATTTGTGGAGCTGGGGAAGCCGGTAGTGCGTGGCAGCAGAGGGCAGTGCAGGACTCACTGGGACTTGCCTTTGTCACAGCCTCTGGAGTGAGAGAGGCAGCCTGGGTGGCCCCTGGGGTGGGAGGCAGGCTTGGGGACACTCGGCCACTCTTTCCCGGCTTCTCTCTGCCCGGCTGGGCTGGCCGAGGTCGTATGTTCCTGAAGATCTGCACAATGAGCAGGTTGATGGGGAACATGAGGAGGGAGCTCTCAAAGCCAATCATCACTTCCTGCCATGTGAATTCAATCTTACCTGTCAAGGTCAAACAGAGCAGAGAAGGAAAAATAACCCCAGGCAAAATAAACCATCAAGTCTCTCTCTTGTGGGAAAACCTATTTATTCAATTCTTGCTTCCAGATTCTGCTGTCTTTCTATTTGCCTGCCCAAGCAATGGTGAGGATTGTTACCCAAATCCATTTTCTGCTCAGCAGGATCCTTTGGCACACCCCAGAACATGATGCTGGTCAGCATGGTGCAGAGGAGCAGTGAGAAGCAACAGGACACTCGCTGGGCTCGCGTGAAGGAGCTTCGTGGGGAGCGGCTGAAAACCGAGTACCAGATGTGCCCATCCTGGAAACCCTTGGAGGTCTTCATGAAAAACAGATTGCTGTGAAGGAGAACAGGGAAATGAAATGGATATGTAGAAAGGAGAAGGAAGAACAAAGCCCTAGTTCAAGGTCCCAACCTGTTCCTGCTTCTAGGCACTATCAGCAAAAATAATAACTAGGTGAAATTAGCAAATATCATGGCTTAATTTGCATGGAATGGTCATAGCTATTTATGTCCTTTCCTTTTGGCCATGGCATAGAGGGAAAGTGAATAGTTCCTCTTTAAATTGTTCAGAAAATTTCACCTAAGAGAAGATGTTTCAGTTTCTCTAGGTTTGTCAGGCTATCCTTCTTTAGCACCAATATTTTCAGTATGGTAGAGTAATGATTAGATTTGTGTAACCCTCCTCCCTCCCTCCCTTGTTCAGAGCCCTTTAAGGACAGTGGAAAGACCTTCCTTGTTATCATTTTTTTCTAGGGCTGTGGTCTATTTTTTTCGTGCTTGTTTTTCCAGACTGACTGCTATCAAGAGTAAAAAAATCCATGGAATAGGAGGTACCTGAACTGCTTCATGTCCTGTTCAGTTGCTACTGGGAATACTTTATCTAGAACACATTCTCCAATATCAATGGCTAACCAGGAGTTACAGAGGAAATACCATTTCTGATCCCATGCCAGATCATGGACTAATACTCGATTCACATACCTGTTGAAGAAACACACAGGGCACAGTCACAAGTCACAGACCTCAACAAGACTGTGGAGGACAAACTCTGGCCTTCAGCTTCTTAGGGTAACTAAACAGTAAGGCACAGGACATATCCCATCCTATACTGGACATGGGATATAGGAAACACTCCTGGTCCTGCAGTTTAGACTGTGATTTGGTCTATTCAGCTGCAAAAACTACAATCTAACACATTCTTTTCTTTCTAGAACTGCAGAAAGGATAATTTTCAAGTGCTAGAAAAGTAAAGCTGTTGTCATTATAAAAAATTATTTGTGGATTTTTACTTCCCAGCATCTCCAGACCTCCACTTACCAGGATGGACTGTCACCTGAATTATCATGCCACAATCTAATAGTCTGCAGTTCCCCAAGAGGGAAGAAGGTACAAAGGAGGAAAACATCCACTCCTCCACGTTCAAAGACTGGTGTATCAGGATCATTTAGATGATGGGGCTCACTTTCTCCATCCACTCCATAGAGGGTGAGGGTCACCTGGAAAATAAAAAGGCAAAATGAAGATTTGCACATCTCGATCCTATGTGTGATTATTTCTCCTTTCATCAAACCTAAGGGCTTTCTGGCTCAGACAGTGCATTTGAACTGTCCTGTTTAATAGCCTCAGGTGCTCCATTATTCATCCAGCTCCCTAAGGAAATAAACTCTCCTCCCACACAGTGCCACTGATACCTTGGAGGTTGTGGCTGCGCCACGGCGGTGTCCTGTGAAAACTGTCACAAGGTAACGATACTGAGCAAAGGGGTCATTGTCTTCCAGGACTGTGATTTTCACCTGCAGAGCCACACAACACGAGCAACATGTTAGCTGTCCTGTAAGTACAGATTCCTGAAAGCTGTGAATAGGAATTTGTGATCTTGTGAACAATTTTTACTTACCAGTGAACAGAGAGGTTCAGGGAAAGGAGTAGGATTGGTTAAAGACTTCATATTAAAACAGGCTAGACATGGTGGGAATTGGCCTGAATACATTGACTTTATTAGCTGGAGACTTACTTTGGCATCATCCTGGATGTCTTTCCTTCGAGCCCAAATAACTACAAGCACATATATCAGAAAGATGCATCCTACAGTTGTCACCACCACAGGATTGTCCACAAATGTACCAAACAGCTGTGTTGTTTTGCTGACATCTATGGCATTGGGTATGACAAAGAAGGAGCTCCCAAAGAAGGTCAGATGGTTGCAGAGGCACTGCGTGCTGCTAGGATTTGTTTTTGGTCCTACCTGAAACCCAGAAAAGATTCCTGATGAAACATCTGGCTTCAAAGTATTAGATAACTTACAAAGCAAATGAAAAGACAGTGCCGAGATTGGTAAATTAGTGTAGAGAGCTGCTGTGCATCAAATTGTTCAGGGTCCAATAAGGAATATTATTTTTAACAGCTAACCAGTAACAGTCACATTGTCAGAATGGTTCAATTTCTTCTTACATAGAAGTTCACTCCAAGAAATAGAAATGGGAATGTTGTTTAAAGGTTAGTTCAACATGACTAAACTTCTTGAGTTAACTAAAACATCTTAGAATGATCTTGTTTTATGGTGTCACTTACTACATGACGGTGGTTATGAGGGCTGGCTTTGAAGTGTGTAACAGACACATTGTTTTGTTTTGCTCTACTTACATGACATCCATAGCTGTTCCAGCCTCCCTGGTGCTCGTCCCAAAATGCACAGCGGGATGCAAAGCAAGTGGCATTTATGGTTAGCCCATTGTAGACTCTTGAATCCATTCCCGTATCTTGTAAAACCATGAAATAGTAGGTTCCTTCTCCAAAAATGAGTTCTTCTGGGCTGAGAACCCAACTGTTTGTCTCACCTTGAACATAAATATTTTCATTTCAATGCATGTATAGAAAGCCTAATTCAAAAGTATGCATCTGTATTGCATGTAATAAATAAACCAAAGAAACAGACGTGAAATCATTCTTAGCAGCTCATTGATCAAATCATCCCAGATCTTTTCTCCTGTTAATGAACACTTTATTCTAGAGACTGGAACTTTGAAGCATCAGGTTTTTTTCCAGCTAGACACCTGAACTCATGGTCAAGGCTCATTCTGCAACTTCATGGGTCACTAACCACTTGTCTTACCTCCAGAAGTTTTCTTATAAAACAGATGATTTTTCATATCATAGTTGGTTTCATTTGGGTGATAACCATACCCCAGGTAAAATATTAATGGGATGTCATGTTCAGATTCCAGGTGGATCACTACAGATGTGTTTTCTGAGGTAACATTGACTTGAAAAGTGCTATAATTGCCCAGATTCAACAGAACCTTATCTTCCTGAGTTGCTGAAAGCCTTGGTAACATGATCTGTTTTTAAACAGAAGGACATAGGTTTGAATACAGAAAAGCATTTTCTTCTTAGCATGCAGCCACATGCTAGATTATCTTTTTCATAACATCAGGAAAGCATGGCCAGCAAAAACATCACTTTCAAAGTAATTTTCCTGATAATGTCAACTAACCTCTGAAAAGTTAATTTGAAATCTGTGTAGACTCATCACAAAACCTATGACCCTTAGTGCATTTCTGAACTGAGAACTGTGATTATGATTGAGACATTGGCTGCATGAAGTGCATGTATGAATGATTTAGATGTCAGTTTATACATGGGCTAGGAAGCAAAAGAGTAGTACAGATGATGAAATCAGACTTCACATTGTGGTTTGGGATGACTGTAATCTGGAATCTATTTCCATTAGCATTCTTACATTCATTTAAAGGAAGAATAAAATGTTATTTGTTATTTCATTCACCACATCACATAAATCCCTCTGTTACAACTACAGACAGCATCAGCCCATTATCTAATGTAATGACCACTACCAGCATTTGCATCCACCTCACAAATGATAACACAAATGATTTTGTTAATGGAGAAAGGAAAAAAATAGGAAAAGAGTGTGAGTGGTAGGAAATAGTGGATTTACCTCAATGTTCTCTTTGAGATTGCTGACTGGTATGATCAAACCATCCAGACCAGTTAGACTTAGACCTCCCACTGTTCCACTGATGTCAAAACTGCTGTCACTGGAGAAAAAGGGATTCATGGCAAAGCTCACCATCTGTTAGAAGAATTAACAATCAGACAACTGAGCTATTGTCAGTATTTCATTTTATTCACACTCTGAATTGCTGAATAGTGAAAGCTTGAGCTCAGACCTAAATAGAAGTAGACTTCCAAGAAGTCTGCATCCAGATTTAAATAAAACTCTACCTTATTTCTAAAGTGAGTCTATAAACCTTAGAAGTGATTTTCATTCTGAAATGTGTACAACAATCTTTATTGTTTTCATACACTGACACCTTTTTGGCAGAGTTGGAAGAGGTGCAATGAAAAAATTGTTTGCAGGTACTTTATGGGTCTCCTGAGAGGGTCAAATCAACTAGAGAGATCTTCAGAAAATTTATTATGAAAATATGGCAGTTATATGCAATCTATTGTTCTGAGGGAAAAAACACCACATCCTAATTCAGATGGGGGACGTGCTACCATAAGCCTATTTGTCTCTTGCAGGATCTGAGTGCCCCACACTCAGGTGTTTCTCGCTGGGATGAAAGAAGGCTGCTGTAGATTTGTTTGAATGTGATATGGACTCTGAGGTGTTGTATCCTCCTCAGAGCATAAGATATAAACAAACAGCAAATAGATTTGTAGGTATTGATTCATTCCATTGCCTGCTCCTGCCATGTACGTGTGAATCAAAGTGTATGGAAGGGGCTGATGGGATGGGGAATTTAAGAATTCAGTTGTCCTTAACTTGCTGAACCAAACTCATGCAATTAAGATAAAAGAAGGCTTCTTTGACTAATAATTTCAAATTATTTTATTGGCATGACAGGAAGAATGACATGGACTCCTGTGTTCATTTATCACAGGATAAATGATTCTAAAACCATTATATCAGGAATATAAGCTGGATATCAGATAGAGTTAGATAAAAGCTGTTTACTTGCCCTTATATCCACTGTTTCACCATCAACTCCTGGAATGTTGAGAGAGGAAGCAGGCGGGAGAGTAAAACTGGCAGAGCTGGAATTGGAGATGGTAATGGATGTGCCATCCATGTTTTCTGTTTGTAATCTGTCCAGTTAGGGTTGGGCATAATAAGCAAAGCAGAATAAAAGAGAAAAAACAAATAAAGGAACAAAAGTCACCAGAAAAAACCCAAACATTGATAGCATGGACTTCATATCTAGAGAGAAATCTTTCCCTCCTCATGAGTATAACTCAGTTGCAAAACTATTTCTACGTATTCCAGTAAATACTTCATAAATGAATCTGTCCCTGATGCAGTACTCCATGTAACATTACCATAGAATCATCAAAAAAAGGGATGGAATTGGCATATCTGGAGAGGAAGTTTTACCAAGGTGTACTTATCTGAAAGTTGGTTTTTGTGTGAACATGGTCTTGATTTGAATGCACAGTTTGATGTGGATGAAAAACAGGCTCTCAGGGAACAATTCAGGGATGATTATAGGGAATGGAGAATGCTCGTCAGGCTCCTCAGGATTATATTTGCTTCTGCCAAGCTGATTACAGTTCCATATAACATGTCATTATCGGGAACTTAGAAAAGGAAAGAAACCCTTAGCTTGCATGACATGAGTTTTCTACATAATTTCAAAGTGACTACTGCCTCATTCAGGAAATCGTAGTAAATTCTCTGCTGGTTAAAGAACACACAGCATGTGAATTTCTGGGGTGATGTTCCTGGAGTCCAAGCTGCTCTTACTATCAGTCACTAATAACAGCCTTGTTGCACTATTGAAATTGTCGTTATGCTACAATATTTAGTTAATTCTGAACATTCTGTTTAAGCACAATGGAATTAACATTTGTGGCTCTCAGAAGCTTCAGTGGAGGACACTGTAGCTGTTACCTGTGCATGTACATTGTGGCAGAGGGAGAGGTGAGGACTGTTGGCTCATCACCCAGTGGCTTCCCAAACAAAAGGGCACTCTGGAGGTTTTCAACTGTGCTCAGGAGCTGGTGTGACACTGAACTCTGGAAAAGGATTGGCAGAGGAAACTTACAACAAAGGTACTCAGGATCATGAAGCTGCACCTTATTTGTCATTGCTACCATTTAATTTTGGTGTCTTACTAAACTGACAAACTTGGTGATGAGCTTCCTAATCTTAGAGCAAGTTATTCTATTGCAATTCAGTTTCTGTAATTCTCATTGAAACATTGTAGATGGCAAATAAATGCCTTACAGATTTTACTTTTATATTGTAGTATTTGTAACTTCTACACATTGAAATTACAAGCATGACATCAATCAATATATTCATGTACTTTTGTGTATTAATGCCCTTAGCTGCACATGTTAGTGTTTGGTTACTTGGAAAAGCAAGACCTAATTACATATAAATTGTGTATTATTAATGGGTTATTGTTGGGGAACTCATCCAGTTCATACTCTTTTCTCTCAGGTTAGATTTATTTCATCCTTATTCCCTTGCAGTGACAAAATTAAAATATGTTCAGCCCAGGAAACTCACAGAGTTAGCTGTGACAATTCACATATAGATAGGAAAGGGTAGGACAAAATAAATGTTACATCTTTCTGAACAGATAATCAGAGCTTTCTGCAAAAGTGTAAGCAGCAACCAGAGCTGGTTCAAGCTGTGAAGTAGTGATGGCAGTCATGAATATTTAATACCTGTGGCTTCCTTGAATTATGGGGCAAAAGCAGGGGATAGAAGCAAATCTGAAAAAAATCACAATGTTCTTGTCATTGATTAGAGGTCAGAGCTGATGCTGTGTTTTCCAATGTAGCAAATCTTAAGAGGTCTCTATCATCTTCATTATTCAATCTAACATATCTAACTGGGGAGAAATTTCCTCCAATATTCAAATCCATCATGTTGTCACAATGAACTCGTTCTGGTGCCAATTCAAAAATACAAGAGGCACCAGAGATTTTTAAAAACCTCCCAAAGCAAATATTCACACATAGTACGGTACAAACTGGACCAAATCTAAATTACCTGTTCTGCCTCTGGCACTGAAGCGTTCCCAGCTCTGATTTCTACAGAAGCTTTAAGAACATTGCTCACTGCATTAAACAGATAGTTGGCTGCTTCCTTTAACTCCTGACCATCTCTGCTGTGCTCTGTGTTCACAGCGAGCAAGGAGGCACTGACATGTTTCAGAGTGTTGCTGGCTTCCACCTGCATGAGAAACACAGGGAGCAGTTTATATGTGCTGGCACTGCAAATGACAGAAGTGACACTTGTGTCATTTACTGAATATTGCAACGTCAGTAATCTCTTGGGACTATTAGTGGGTAATGCCGTTTTTACTATAATTATCTGTGCTAGGGTAATAGTTCAAATGCTAATAAAGATGAAATACTATTTGTTCACCAAAATGGAATACAGGCATGAAAATGCTTCTACAGATGTAACCCATAAAAAGATGAATAACATCTGAAGGAAGCTTCTCTGTCAAACTCTGGTCAAGGACAGCTTTTAGATTTACAGTAAAGTAGTAAATTAGGTTATATGTTTCGATCTTAGGGCCAAAGTGCTAAGTGCCAAAGGAGAATGAGTTTTACAATTTTTATTTTGTGCCTGGATACAGCTTTGTGACTGAGAAAGCACTGGCCAGATTTTAGCCCAGGAGAGTGAAGGAACCAAGCAAATTCACTGCAGGCTTGGACACATCCAGCCCCACAGCCTGTGAATGCTGCTCAGCCTTTCTGTAGGGTGAGGGCTGGACCTGAGCTGTGTTCTTTTCTTGCCAAAGTTAACCACATCCTGCTGAAATGCTCCCAAGCCATTGTCTAGCTCCAGCTCTATAATACATCAGAAATCAGGACAGCTGTTTTTATTTGGGAAACTTCCCCCAGTGACAATTTGTTCTGTCCTGCCATAGGCTCACCCCATAAGCATAAATAGCACCATCTACTAACAATGTCTTGTTGCCAGACAAGATTCAAGAGATACTTTTGCGAGACCAACCTACACATTTGTGCCCAGTTCCTCTGGGTGCTGACATGTCCCTTGACCATTGCTTATGTGCATTTTGTGCAGTGCCAGGATCAGGGATGAATGAATGTGGGCAATTCTAGAAAAACCCTCATGGGACAGTTCTTCAGGGTTCTAAAATTGCTTTACAAGAGAAAACATGCACCCTGACATGTTTCTGACTAAAAGTTAAGGATTCTGTCTCAAAAAAGTATGATAAATGTAATGGTCATAGCCTGGATTGTAGAGATTGCTGAGACAATACCAGAAAAGTCAAAAATGCTGCTGGTAAAGATACACATGCTGGTACAGTTGGAAAAATGGGTAAGAACAGATAATTATAAGGCTCTGAAACTTCCAAGGTCAGTGGGATAATTAGAGTCTCTACTATTAGTGTGAGGACATACAGGATGGATTGCTTCTTACCTGTGCTGAGACAGACAGCTCTTCACTCCTGTAAGTGATTTCTTTCAATACCTCTGACATCTTCAGAGCAGTCTGCATTGATGTTATGTTAACAACAGAGAGAGTTGTCAGCATCAGCCCTCGGAGCTTGGGATGAAAAGGGATAATTAGGCAAAGGAACAAGATGCTAATTAGGACTGTGAAAGTAGTGCTGTGTATTGACAGCCAGGATTTCCTGTAAGTTATGCAGTAGAGTAAGGCTCCACAACAAGAATCATTTGAGCTGATATTAGCTCTACTGACAAGATGCCACTTGCCCTAGTAATTATATAATCATGAGTTTTATGTTACCTCCCAGCAAAGAGAATTCATACACTTAACATCCATTAAGAGCAAGGAGAGTTACTTGTGAGAATTTGTACTAATGTATGTGAATTACTGTGTAAATGCCACTTCCAGAGAAAGCAGAGCCATGTGTGATTGATGTTATTCAAATAATGAATCTTAATTGAAGGATACATTCTCTAGATCTCTTCATCTGAGGCACTCAAAGCACTGTACAAATATCAGCTTATGACTGAAACATCAACTGGTGACTAAAATGGACAAAAGAAAATTACCTGCCATCTAGTGCTTTTGGGGGAAATTAGGATATTTATCTCCTTGGAGCTGCCATGTTATTGATTTTTAAATTGCTTTGGAAAATCAGGTTTAGATTAACTAGTTTAAATTAATGAAATAACAATTGAGAATTAACTGTTTTGCTGATGAATGATAAAACAATAATTTATGTAGACAAGTAATGCAAACTAGCTGAAACCAGTGCCAAACACTGAGACAGATGCTAGAAACTTGAAACCTTAATTGATTTCAAGTGGTGATATGTGAGATTTTTATTACTTAGGAGCTGTAAAAGAATATGAAGAGTCCATTATATGACATTGTACTAGGAGAAAGCAAGAGCTTTGCTGACCTCTTTTCGTGTATTTGTCTGTAAAGACATGTTAAAACTTTCCTCCTGGATCTGCTGATTAAGTACAGATGTTACTGACTTGTACAGCTGGAAAAGACTCATGCTGTTGTTCCCATCTTTTAGGATGGTGTTTGCCTTCTCAGATATCACAGCCTGCAGGGTCAGGTTCCCATCCATCATATCTGCAGGTCCAACCTGATGAAGGAATCAGATGTGATCTCAACATTGCCAAGGCTGTTAAAATTTTCTTTGAGCAGCTTCCATGATCATTTAATGACAGCCTAGATAGAGTGAGACATAAAACTTCATGTTCCTCATTTTAGATGTTTTATTTTTAAGGGCCTGATAAGGGTCTCCTTACTGTGGCACTGGGGAAGAAGCAGGAGTCTTTTGGGGCCTACACAGTGTAATTCCATACTCAGTAAATAGGTTTATGCTGCTCAATCAACGTCCTAACAATTCTTGTAGACTTCTGTTCTAGAAAAAAGGGCAGTGGAAGGTCTTTTGACCTTGAGCACACAGAGTCTCTGTTAGATAGAAAAATGGTGATTATGGCACATTCAGAAGGAAGTTATATATCTAAAACAGGAAGAAGCTCCAAAAGTCAATTATGGGTTAGTTATCAACTTGAGAGTTCTTGAAACTTTAATTCTATCATGTACCTTCACTGAAGCATTTGTTTGAACTCTGTCACCGAAGTTGTTGCTAACAATGATTGTCACATGTAAAATAAAATTATTTTCCTCTTCTCCAAGTGGAAGATAAACTGGGAAGAGTTCAGGATCCGGGCTACAATCCAGGAGAGAATCTGAAATGGGAAAGAAGGGGTCAGACACCACAGAGACACCTCCTGCTCTCTGAGAACAGGGGACTCAGGGCATGGTTCGTCATGAGCAGTCTCCCTGCAGAGCAGGGCAGGCTGTGCCTTTGCTCTTGTTAGGAGAAGCCAAACACTTCTCCTGGGGACTTACGGGGTGTCTCATAGAAGCAATATGTGAGCTGCCTGCTAGGACTGGAGCGGCCCGAGCGCTCCGAGCCGGGAGCGCTGCAGGAGACTCTGAAGGCGGTGAGCACGGAGCCGTGCCCGGGACTCACGGCACAGGCGGGGCGGTCGGGCGGGGGCACGGTGCTCACCAGGAACGAGCCCTCGCCGTAGCCTCGCTGGGTCCTGCCTGGCACAGGAGAGAGCGGAGCATCAGCCAGGGCCGTGCCCCAGCGCTCTGCATCGCGAGGCTGTCTGCTCCGCTACGAGGGCCTAATGAGGAGTGAAATCCTGCTACTGAATAGACCATAAGAGCAAAAGAACTATTTCAAATATGCTAATGTTTGCGTTATAAAGCAAAGTTCTATTATTTGATCAAGCATTTAGCGTAACTTCGTTTCAGGTGAGCCTTAACAAAATTATTAACAGCTTGGAGTAAGGTAACTGAATTTCTCTTGCAGTGCAACACCCAAGAACAAACTTATCAATACTTTAAAGAACTCACATATAAAGTAACACCTTTCAATTTGTGGATTAATTTACCTTCATATTTATCAGCGAGGCTATGCATGTGTGACAATAACATGATGTCATGTCAGCAGAAACTGCCTTAAAGGAGTCTGTAAAATGCTAAAAATCCTGTTAGCCCCTACCTCTTACTTTAATCTGAAAAGCTTCTCCCTGTGTCTGCAAGAAGGAGCTGGGCATTCTCAATACAGATGTGTTGCTTTGAAGCAAATTCAAAGAGTTCTGCTGGAAACCAGTCAGGCCACAGGCTAGAGGGAGGGTTGTAGACTGGAAAATCAGACAGAAAAGAACACATGGCAGTAGAGGCTCTTTGCTGTTCTTTCTGTTGTGATTTATCAGGAGCAGGGTGGCAGTTTGGTGCATTTCATTATAACCCCTCCCAACCCAGGCACCCCCTTTTCTTGGTCATCACTAGTATTTTTCTAAGTATCCACTTGACAAAATATCCCTCTGAGGCCATACAGCCTTGTGGATATTTATTTTTGTGTGTGCAGTATTTCTGACAAATCTGGTGCTCTCACCTTGTTTATGAATGTGTTATCTAAATACCAGTTATAAGGTATGGTATGGGAGTCCTCCTGTCCAGAGACACTCAAAACAACTTCATCACTAACATTCACTGGATTGCAGTTTGCCTCACACCTGTAAAGAAGTAAGATGAGAGTTACACATGGTATGAGATGTCTGGGAGAAATTTCATATTTACCTTATGGCATTTATTCCTGTTGTTTCAATGAGGTTGACACATTGAAATGTCCAACACTGGAAGGATGCAGTGCAGTCAAAAACCCCAAAGTGATTCTTGAAAGAATGCATTTCAGTTCATAAAGGGATTGTGTTCAGAAACATTGACTGAAAAATGCAGCAAGGCTTATTGGTCAGTAATTTTTATAATGGTAAGGTGTAAATGGATTTAGAACAATAAGTTTTCTGTACTGTGAGGGTGTTGAGATCCTGGCATGGGTTGCCCAGAGAAGCTATGGATGCTCCATCCCTGGAAGTTTTAAGGCTGGGCTGGATGGAGCTCTGAGTAACTTGATCTAGTGGTATCCCTGCCGATGACTGAGGGCTGGAACAAGATGATCTTTAAGGTCCCTTCCAACCCAAACCATTCTGTGATTCTTTGATTCTATGATTCTTTGATTCTTAAAGTACAATACCACTTTATTATCATTATTATTGGAAACCGTGGACTTGCACTATGCTTGTGCAGTAATAATTTTAATCTGTGAACACCAGGGTTTAAAAACAAACCTGATTTCCAGTTGCAGTTCTTGTTTTGCAGTCACATAGAGACATTGCTCGTCCTGCCTCTCTTCACTGCCGTGGCTTCGGACAGTAATCCTGACTGTCACTGCTGATTTCGGAGGAGGAAGGCAGGAAGGTGGGATTTGCACCTCACTTTGGTTGATTCGGATTATCTGTTGCTTCACACATTCATTCCAGGCAGGCCAACAAGCTCCTGCAGAAACATTTCCTTTATGGTTAGAACAGCATGTTATAAAGGACTTTCCTGCCATAAGTTTAAGAAAGCTTTATAGACAAATTTCTTGAACACAGTTTAAAGAGTTCGTAATCTGGATTCAGAGTACAGGCTTTTCCAGAGTCATGTATGAGGTCAGGGATAATTATGGGGTTAGAAACAGATGGCTTGAATCCCAATCCTGTTTTCAGTCAGAAATGTTTTTGCATCATGTTTAATGGTAATTATTGCTGTTTTATTGAGACACATGTACTTTGCAAATGCTTAACTGTGTACGTCACTTGGGACTAGTCCTTGGCTATGAGAGTGAAACTTAGGACAGGTAAATCTTGAAAAACTGAGAAACTGAAACCTTTGGGAGAAGACAAAATGGAGTACTATGCCATATTATATACCTTAATTACTTTGGTGCCAAAACTAGGGTTGGGTAGAAGGACATTCTTCATGTACAGTGAGTGGCAAACTTAAAAACCAGGAAATGAAGCATCCTTAAGTCAGATTTTTCAACACTGGATCAGACAACTCACATAACAGTGAGTTTGTTACTCATCAAGTACAAGTTGGTAAAAAAAGTTTGGGAAATGCACATACCACAGGTCCAGAGAAAACTGGAATTATTGTTGTTGTCTGGCCAGCCAAGTGTAACAGTTGTGAGAGGATCCACATGGCGACTTGGTTTAATATATATTCTGTGATCCTAAATAAGAAGTAAATGTATCAGTTAGAACACAAACATGTATAAACACACATATATGTTGCTTCTTTATAATGAAAATGGTCTGAAAGTTGAGACCCCAAATCACTGGATGCAGATCTGTAGTTTAAGTGATCTTCCCCTTATCAGAGATAGTGTGGAAGTAGAAGCTATGGGAATAGAAGCAGATGGCACAGAAAAATTGTGTGGTAAAATTTTCCCAAATACAGAATTGGTTTTGGAGTGCAGCTCCCATTTTCAAAACTAGGTACTTAGGAAATTAATTCCTATTAAACCTTCACATGTGGACAAAGACTTCTAACCCTCGAGCAGCCATTTGTCTTCTGGTGCATGCCTTTTTTTTCTGAATTGGATACATTGCAGCTATAAACAAAGAGAAGAAGGGGTGGCTGAGCTTGTCTTTCTGTGTACAGAACTGTGATACACTTGGGTTTGGATTAGATTTATATTCCTGTGATGCAATATATTCTTACAGGCAATTTGTAAAGCATGATGGCTTCTTGTGAAGCAGTGTATCTCCCACAGCAGATGTCTGTCTGCTAGTGTTACAGTTAAAAACTAGATTTTTAAGATGATAAAATATTCTATCTGGCATTTTTATTATTTAAATTTGGACACCTGCTAGCAACTGGTGCATCATTAACTTCTTAGTTTGCCATAAATTGGAAAATGTTTAATTGCAAAATAATTTAAACACTCCAATACAGAAAATGAAAACACTTGGGAACCATATAAAATATATTAAACTCTACTTGAAGGATTACTCTTCAGAGAGAGGTTTGCATTCATCAAGTAGATGAATTAAAAATTCATCTTGATTAGATCAATTTAAACTTCCAAAACTGAATTGTTGTGAAAAGTTAATTTTCTTTAATCTTTTTAATGAATTGTAGATGGATGCCAGTAAACACATTTGTCTCCAAGACTTGTGTTGTAGATTTTGTGTTAAACCATATGGGGAACAGAACATCTACTCCATAATTTACTATGCTACAAATACTTCTTTCCCCTGTCTTCTACGGTACTTTCACTGGTAAGAAAAATTTCTAGGCAATTTTAAAGAAAGATCCTTAAATAATACTTACATTTTTCTTTCGGATATTTGTTTTGTAGATGCCTTCTTCCTCAGCAGAATCTGTTTAATGCAAAGAAGACCAGAATATTTTAGTTCTACCTGTAAAGCTTTCAGACACCCTCAGTGAATATGACTTAAATCCACAGGATTTGACTACTGACAGTGTGAAAGATGGGGCTGTAAGAATCAGATTCCAGAGCTGTGATAAACTGCACAGTCAAATAGGTAAAATGGCAACAAGCAGCTCATCACAGACTACAAAGGAGATGATCCTAATTCTTCAAACATAATGGTATAAATCAAAATATATTCACAGAAGGTGATGGAGTTTCATGGATGTACAAAGGAAAATTGATGGAAAGCTCTGAAAAACTTTCAGTACAATTAGTGCTAAGGTTATTTTATTTCTGGTATAATCTGCTCTTGTAAATGTAAGGATGAGCCATCTAGAAGCCATTAGTGACAACAATTTATGAGACTGCTGTGATGCAAATATTTTCTGGTTTCAAAGCTATGTCCCGAGCCATAAACTGCACTCATTATTTCTAGGACAAACAGCAAATGTGCAATGTGTTTCATATACAGAGTGATGCTAATTTATGACTACATCAAAGTCAGGGAATCTGCCTTCATCAGGAAGAAGCCTCCACAAAAGTTTTCAGCACTGTTGCTGGAAGGAAAGCAATTACTACATAAAACCCATAAACACTCCATGAAATGCTCTGATTGCTAAAAGACACTTACGTGGTCAAAACCAGCAAGGTCAGATTAATGCAATTACCTTTTTTATGGGAACCGTTTGCCAACACAGTGACGAATCCAAGATCCAGACTCACATTTGAAAAGGCATTCATGGCCACCACTTTCACTTGGAAAGTACCTAGAGAAGGCAAAGGGCCAGTTAAGAGTAGCATGGGCTCAGTCCAACATGTTTGAGGTATAATATACAATTTGTAAAGAAAACCCCCTTCTTTTCTGTTAAGAGTTTTCAGGGGGGTTTCTGATGGATGTCCACTGCTGAAAGGCTTTTCCTGAAATGTTTTTCCCCTTTATCTCAACTTCCTAATAACTCAGCTGCCCCTTTCCTAGCCCTTGTCATGCTATTCTTTGTCAGCTAACTATGATATCACACAGGAAACGAGAGGTGTACAAACACTGGGGGACAAATTAATTTAGGCATCTTGAGACAGTAGCTATCTTGTTTGAATATTTCTGCCTATGGGGAAAGGATGTTCAAATGGGTACAGGGAGAACAAATAGAACTTTAATATTGAATAATTTTAAAATATGAAATGAAATCATAATTAGCTTCTAATGTTTCCACTTCGGCATGGGGTTGGAATAGTTCATTAAAGGTGGTAACTTCTTTATCTTCTGACACTGTTAATTAACTCTTAAGCACAATCTGCCTAATTCCACATTTTAAAGGCCTTGACTATGTAATAATGGAAGGATAATATTACTAAAATATTTATTCATAATTAACTCCAACAAAAGTTGTGTTGGAAACAGACATTTAGAAAAATTACGCATTTCTTTGTCTTTGACTACTGAGAACTCCTCAGATTATGCGGAGTAAAATGCAGAGCAGTCTAAACTTGAAGCATTATGAACAAACAGGAGGAAAACACTTTGCTATTCAAGAAAATGCCCTCATTTGTACTTCAATCAGATGGTGCCATGAAAAAATAAACCCTATGTCTTTCAACTATGTCAATTCCATCTCAAGAATCAGGTGAAGCCTTGCTCTGAGTGTGCATATGCAGACACATTTGTCAGCTCCATTTTTTAGCTCACTTACATAGGACTATGCTGTTCATCCTGCTCTGCAGACTGAGTTTGAGCAGTCAGAAAAGCTGCCAAATTCAGCTGTACATTACTGTCACCAGGATGCTGTGACTCTATATGTGACCTGTACTCATCTGTGATGTCCTGGAAGCACAGGAGGTGTCAGTGTGCTGTACCTTCTGACGGAGCAGGAACGCTGTACATCTGCAGCTCCCCACGAGGGCTGTCTGTTCTGTGACAGTGGGTTTGGTTGGATCCAATCACCTCAAACATCAGCTGCTCTGGGGCACCATGGGACACAGAGACATTCACCTCCAAATCCTCCCCCAGCTCCAGAGTGTGGGAAGCTACTGCAGCCTGAATCCCAGATACTGGTTCAATTAAATGAACAGCAATACTCCTGGAGATCTCTGATGCTGTCATGTTCCTCGATGCTCGGATTTCCAGCCAGTGCATCCCTGGGCCTATCAGCTTTTGGGAAGCACTGTTGAGTGTCAGGTTATGGGGGACAAGACCTTCCTCTGCACTGGATTCAGTCAGTGTCATGTTATCTGCAAATACGCTGTAGGTTACTCCATTGCCTGCAAACACACAGATGAAAATTTCTCACAGCTTGTACAATAGGCCAACAAATTCCAGCTGCTTTGTGCAGCTTTCCAGTGTTTATACAGGAATCACAGGAACACTGCAGCAATACAATCATTTTTAATAAAGTCACTTAAGGTGACTTAATGAAAATCTATCACGTGTTTTCTGCTGGGAATGTTTTGAGAAGAGAGTTCAAACATACACTACTGAATTTTGGTTTTTTTCAGCACACAAGCTTTGAGGAACTTGAAGAGAGAAAGAAATGTACACCAGCAAATGTGTCCAGCTCAGAGTGGAATCCTCTTACTCTAATCAGAGGAGCATTTCCATGAATTTCTAACTTCAAATACAGAAATATTCTGACTGGCATAATGTGGATTTTTGTGACCAAAGTTATGCTTGTGCTGTCAGCTTTGGCAATAAGAAAAAATGGTTTATACTTATGCTTTAGGTGGTGAAATATCTCTGAGAAAGAACTCCTTCAGTGGAACTGAGGGAATTAAATTGCAGGAATACAACAATTAGAGGGAAAATATTCACTAAAAAGAAGGATTATTTTGCATAATAAAAATCCCGCTTCTATCCCATGGATGGCAATAATATTTACCCTTCTCTTTAAATCATGCAGAGAAATTATCCTCACCTCCACTGAGCTGAACTTGGATCCACAACACCTCTCCATACAGGGTACGGCAGTGGGAGCTGTTCCCTGTTTCATACTGGCTGTAGCACCCAGAAATGCTGAGCTGATCCACCTGATCTTGAACAGTCACCTGCCTCTGTGCCATCACGTGCCACTCGCTGGTGGTGCACTCCACAAAAACCGTAAACTCCCCAGCAGAGGAGTACCTGTATGTGAGGTTGCTGACCAGTCTAGAATAGAAAGAGAACAACTGCCTGCTGTGGAAGACCATCCTGGGAAATCCTTCGCCTTACCTGACAACACATCCCCAAATTTCATTCATTCAAATGTCATTCCTACCATTAAGACAAAATCTGATTATTAAATCCAGCAAAAAAAAATGTTTGATCTATTAAAGACAGGATTTTTATGCAATTAAAACAGAAGAAAAATTACAGAATTTCCTTGATATATTTTAATTGTTATCAAAAAACACTCTTTAAACATAAGGGAATAATCTTTGCTTGTAGTTTGGCAAATGCTGACATGTTTTCAGTAATTTTGAGTCTTAAGGTCTGGAATAAATACTCCTGGAAACAGGAAAAACTTGTTATAATAGAAGAAATTGTTGTTGGCAGCTTAATGTAAAATTTTTTATTGATTTCAGAACAGATTTTTGCAAGATCCAAGTCTCTTGTATGTATGTTCTATTATTAAGCTATCTAGTTTTTAACATCTCATTTATGAGACTTGGCACATTCAATACAGGGCAAGCAAAGAAAAGTACTTGTCTGAAATGAATGCAATGAAAAGTGTTTTTCTGAAGAGAAATGAAGGCTATTTCTTACGTTAGAGGGTAGTAAGGATCAATAGTGTAACCATCCCCAGTGCTAATGGTACAGGAAAGGTTCCCAGAGTATGGTGAGAGCAGCCAGTTCAAAGTGACCGTGATATTTTCAAAGACAAAACATGTGTCTGTCATAAACAGCTGCAGACCTGCAAAGCGGAATGACAGAATTCAGTGCCAATGTTTGTCTACTTTTCTTACAAAATTTAATTAATTTTCAGGCATTGAGAGCCAGCCTGCTCCATACTACAGTTGGTACTACTGCTAATTTGTGTGCATTAGTGGTGTGACAGAGAGCTGATTCTTTTCCATATCTACTGGTCAAGATTCTTGTTGGAACATAATTTCATCTAAATTTGTTTTATGTGTCTGAATTTCTGGGCTTTGTATTCTACCCAAACCCCTCAGTTAGGACAGGGAATCCACATTTTTGTGCCTATTTTTAGTGATCACCACTATTCTGGTTTCTTCCCTGAGGATGGAACAATGATAAATTTTAAGATAAATATCATTGGTCACAGTGCTACAGCAAAGAACAACACAGGGTTTTGGTGTGGACAGCTCCCCCACCCCTTACCTTCCTTGCAGTGGTATTGAATAGACAAATAGCTTCCCAAAGCCGGACAAGGATTTCCAAAGAAAGTGCCATCTGCTGCCACCTGGCAGGCCTGCAGACCATGACACTGGCCTGGAAAGGGAGAATTTCAGATCAGCAAGTGGCTTTTGCCTTTACTGTCACTGCAGCTCAGATGAAAGATGACTGAGAAACAAAAAAGGCAGGAGGACCAGTATCATGTCTCTGATTTCTAGACAAATTTCCACATCACTTTGACTTTAGTGTGTTACTTACTGTGTGGCATTTCTTAGCACCAATTCATTTTATTGGAACAAAGCTGAATTGGAAAAGGTACCAAGAAAATGCTTGTGTATTTTGTTTCATTTTGGCTGGAAGCCCTAAGAATCATCCTGGGGACAGGCCACAGTCACTGTTTAGTCTCCAAGCCCTTGGCTCCAGCAGGGTGGGTGCCTGACATGTGGCAGACAGCAGCAGGCTCCTCCTGCCCTCGTATCCCCATGGGCATCAGCCTTTTCACCCCCCCTGGTTTGGAGTTAGGTTTGTCTGGATGTGCTGCCTTCCATCTCTGTCAAACCTTGTGTATCCCACTGAATTTGTTACGGATATCAGTGTGCTCACATATTTTCTTCCTACTGTGAGAACCAGGCACACCCTTGTCCTTCATTTGCTCCTCCCCTCTTCTGAATCTTTGCTTCTAACAAAATCCCTCCTTTCCATCCAGCCTCTTGTAGCAACATCCTCCCTGTCAGAAGTTCTCTGTGATTCCCTTCATTTTAGGAATAATCCACTTTCCCACTTGCTAACCCTACTGGAATACAGGATAAAATAGTCGAGGGATAAAGAATTTTGGTACACACTGTTTCTGACAAGCAATACTGTAAGACACCACCTGCCACTTCATCCTTGACACTGATCCAGCTGCAGCCTTCATCTGTTTCAAGCTGGAGAGGAGTCTCTGACACACAGTAGTGAGGGGTCTTCCGCCCGTAGAAGCTCTCTTCAACTTGAATAACTTCTCCTGATCCACACTGTACAGTGGCATTGTAATTATCACAAGCAATGCTCTGGCCAGAATCTAATAGGAGAAAAAACTCCAAATATTATCTTTTTGAATTTCTGAAAAATCCTGCTACAATTCTATGTCATGTTAATTTTGTTTTGTTAGTCTTTCTTCCCTTTTCTCCCTTTTAAGCCAAACAATTAAGAAAACAGACAGAAATTACAAAATAATTAAATATTTTTATTTTTAAAAAGTCATAATTAATAGATTTATGCTTTTACTGCCTTAGAACACTGAGGACATTTTAAATAATCAAAAATATTTTAATTATAAAAATAGCATTTTTGTGGAAAGCTCTTAGCATTTGTTTGACCTGAAATACTGGAATGTTTAAAATTACTCCTTACTTCCGAAAGAGATGTATGGATTGCATAATATTCAGGTAATTGCTTTGGAGAATAGTTTGCATATTAAGTATGGGAGCTGATCTCATTTCTGCTACAGAGACTCCTTTGTTCCTGTGTGATATTTGACTGACTTCATTCAACAGGACTGCTCAGATGGGTAAGGTCATAGCTCTAAATGCATATACCTCATTCTTTGATTAATCTGGGACAGTTAATTATCTTTCAGAATTCTTAGTATCATGTAGTAATCAGGATGCTTAATACCCTGAAGAGGAGGATGTGAATAACTGCTCTCATATGGGAGTATTGCAAAAGGATGTTTTTGTTTCAGCTGCCCCAGGTTTAAACACATTGTCCTCCCGCTGTTGTTTGGATCATTCCCCACAAGCCCCTTGATTAACAGTGCCAATGTGTGCACACTGCAATAATTGTGTGCTATTGTTATTTAAAGGCTAAAGCTAAGCCTGGCTGTAACTATAGCAACATGATCAGTTTGCAGATTAGATCTCTCTAAATAAGCTTGAAAAATAACTTGCTGGTAAATTCTAGTATGGACTATTATCTCATGCCTTTTTTGTTCTCCCTATGAAGATTTCTCACAGTATTTGCTGTCTCGCACTTTTACATGGAAAGATGCACAAAACTTGGTCTGTGTTTCTAGGTACAAACCCTGGTTTGATACAATAATAAACTGCTAACCTACAGAGCACCAAATAGTAGAATTACCTCAATCTGGTCTTGGTTTCCTGGGTAGTGGAATGATGAATGTAGTGTAGGATATTGTTGCTCTTTGAATTTAATGGGCACTCAGTCAGATCCTATGGTAACAGATGATAGTTTCCTTACAAACAGACAGTTGTCTACCGTGGTTGGAATGGAAAAATAATTTTAGTCTGTTTTTGCAGGGAAAATAAGCTTAAGGGATTGTGCTGTCTGCCAGTTTCCTCTCCCCCAGTCATTTTTAATGTTAGTCATCTTCAGCTTAATTTGATGCATAGATATAAACCTCCAACACCCTAAAATTTGATTAAATGCAATATCTAGGGAGAAGAGAAAGAGCTACATCAATGCCTCTTCGAGGAGTAGGAATTATAAACCTATGTTTGCCTATTCTGGGACATGAAATTCAAATGGCCAGCACATACAGCTGGAGCTCTGGAGCAGCTGCAGGGGAGGGAGCTGAGGCAGTGAAAAGTATCTGCAGAGGTGGGACATGGTGGGGATATGAGAGTGAACTGGGAATGCTGAGGAGGAGGGGAGGCAGGGGATGTGGAACAGAAAATCAGGATAGGAAACAAAACTTTATTAGCTTTGCTTATTGCAGAACAACTTGCTATTTATGTCAGTAGTAGTAGACTGCTGGACAGGGCAGTAGCAGTTCTAGGGCTTGTGGAAACCTGTACTTGCATACTTGACTGGAAGCCTTTTTATATTAGTGAGCCCACAGCTAGACTGTCCTTCCAGAGCTTGTGACCCCAGTTCTAGCTGCAGTTAAAAGTACTCTTGTGCAAAGTGTGAGGAACACAAATTCCCCTCGTATCTATATGTTGAAATCATTCATTTCCAGAACTGTTTGTTCCAAGTCACAATTTGAGGGACAAAAGGTCTGTGGATTTTCTGTCTGAGCACAGGAAGTACAGGTTCCTGTTTGCTTCCTTAACCTGGGGAAAACCTTGAACTTCACCTGATGGAGGGGTCTGAGAAGAAACAAGAAAAACTTGCTCTCACTTTTGCTCACTCCAGGCTGCAAGGAGTGGTGACTCTGGAAGCCTGCCAGTATTTTTGCTGCAGTTACAAATGGAAATTTTTTGGCACACATTAATGAGTGCTTTTACAGGGCAGCCACACATCCCACCTAGCTCAGGTGCTGTGGTGTTGTGGGAGCTTTTTCTTGCAGCCGTGTTTTAACCTAGCCAGCTTATATCCACTGAGGATGTGGACAGCTACACATTAGATTCACTCTCAGATCCGTTTCTATTTTATCAACCCTGTGCTGGAACCCTGGGCCTAAATGTCTGGTTGCTGAGCACCTACATCTCCCAGTGACCTGTGTGTTCTTCCTTCTATGGATCAGATCTTATATTAGCACACTGCAAAAGGAGCACCTGCTAGGGTTATATGGCTTTTTACTTGTTCACATTCAGTAGATTCATTATTTCTCAGCTACTTTGAAAGCAACAAGGCAGCTTATGCCCCATTGTGATCACGGCACACTCACTTCACTGTTCCAGCTGCTGTGTATCTTACCAAACTCGCAAATGAAGTAAAATTCCTGGCTGCAATTTTCAGTCACACCCCACTGATACTTGGCATTCTTCAGGATGTACCCACACGTGGATGAGAAGGGAGAGGGCTGATCCTTGTACCATTTACTGTAGCTTATGTTTGAAGTGTCCAGCCAAGTTATTGACCCTGTGAACAGAGAAATTGTGTCCTGAATGTTTGTTTTCCACAGTAAAACAATTAGAGCCTGCAGAGCAGGACTGTAGCTCTGCTCCTTACTGAAGCAGAGATGGTTCAGTCTGGGTAAGGATTTTCAATTACATTTTATATTGAACCTGATACAATCATGAAAAGAGATACTGCCACTTCCACCTGTGCTCCCAGCCTCAAGATTTCACCATTTCCCTTGCATCAGACATTGCAGCACTTCCTGGTGGGATGAATTGGCTTCCACTGGAGACTATGCAGCACATTTGTTTCACTGGGTCAGCAACCTGGTCTCATTCACCATGTGTTCACTCAACCACAAGATCCAAAGGAAAGGGTAGTAAAATGCAACAAGGAAGTGAAGCAGGCAATTAAACACCTTAATCTAAATCAGAAGATACAGCAACAAAAGACAGAGGCTTTTCAGCAGATATCTACAAAGGCACTGCATTTTTACCATGTTAAGAAAGCATTGTGAGCTGATAAAATTTTAAAGACATGATTTAAAAACCACCTACCATCAGTAGTTTCATTCAGCAAGGAGTTTGAGATCAGTCCTATCCACCATTCCTGGTCCTCAGCAATATGTTTTTGCAAGAACTCTTGAGTGTCCTCATTTTGAATAAAGACAAGGTGCCCTCCTCCTCTCTCACACCAGCTCTGGGCACTTGTGAAGGTTTGCTGGAGTCTAACAAACTCATAGCATGAATGGTTGAAAGCTTGCTGGTACTTTGAACAAGGTATTCCTTCATCAGTTGCTTCCTCCACAGCCAGGCACACAGCAAGAGAAATCAGAACTGTGACCCCCAGCCACATTCTCAGCTCAGTGCTGTGCATCACACTCATCTTGCTTTCCAGGGCACCACTCTTTTTGATGCCTTCTTCAAAAGCTTGAGATATCCTTGTCATGTCATCAGCATTTCTCCTTCTTTGCTGCTTGCCACAACAGCAGCAATAGAGCATGGAACAGAACAGAACTTCTAATATATAATTGTGATTGCGTCTGGGGGGTGCTGTGCTGATGCTAAGCCCCTGCAATGACCCTTGTGAGCTCTATTGTACAAATGTCACATCACTTGTGAGATCAGTTTGAGGAGAAGACTTTAAATTATTGCTTTCCTCATGAACAGAGAAGATAAGGTTGATATATGCTACTGTTGAACACATGGAAAAGTGAGATAAAGCTCCTACATCAAAGGCTTCATTGTGTGAACATTAAAGTTGGGAGGTCTTTACAACAGCAAAGAGATACAATAGTGAGAATAAGAAAAATGAGAAACACAAGGAGTTATGGGATGGGAAAACACACTGCTTCTCTAGATATATTTAATTGGTCTGGATCACTTTATATGTAATAATTATTGTTTGACGTACTTCTTTTATATGCTAATGTAATGTCTACAATTATTGTATGATATCCATCCTGCCCTCCTGTTTACGCATCTGCAGATTCATCTCAGCTGTTCCAAGTAAGCTTGATTTTGAACTGTTGTGTCTGCTTAGAATTCCACACACCAGGTGAAGTGCTCCCATCATCCCTTAAAAGATAAGCTGCTCAACTATTTGGAGCTATAGTATTTATATTGCTGAGAGGCAGAAGAGAAGGCCATAACTTAAACCAATGATTTAGGAAAGATGAAAATATTGCCTTAATCATCAGAACTACTTGAGAGCTCTATTTGCACATTCCAAAGGCTGCTGATGGACTTTGGGAAGCAAGCCCAGCTACATTTAGGAGCTGAAATCTCTAAATGCATTGCAACTTCCTTATCAAAGATATCCATCAGATTTACAAAGCCACCAGCTTAGTAGAAGCACAGTACAAATGAGGATTTTAGCTATTGTGATCCTCCTGTCCTTGGCATTAACTCCTTTGAACTTGATGCCATTATTATTAATTTATACCACTAACCCAAAACCGAAAGAACATGCACTTATATTTAGACATGGGTCAGTGAGCCAGTTACCATGGCACAGAGGACTCCGCGGTGTTTGCTGGATTCCTGCACTGCAGAAATGCCTCCTGCACTGCACTGCTGGGCTGAAGGCAGTGCCCATCCCTGCAGAGTGCCAGTGCAGCTCCAAAGCTTTCTGCCAAAGTCAAATGCATGCACTGCATCCAGTCAACATCCAAGACTGAACTTCAATCCCAAGACCTTTCTGGACCTCCTGTTTATGCCTGTCTTGTTCTGCTGGACAAAGCAAGACTATTATCAGGGTTTTCAAGATAAAGTTAGTCAGAAAGTGTTTAATGGGTAGGAAAATTGTGGGGAATGAGAGGAAAGAAGAAAATACAGTGTGTTGGATGTCTTCCTTCTCACCACACCTGTAAATCAAGAGTTCAGCTATGGAACCCTTGGAGCAGATCCCACATGAATTTCTGGCTGATTAATAGGGAGAACTTATGGAGCAGCTAAGATGTGAATATTTGGACTGGATTTCCCAGCTCTGGAGAAGGCCAATCCATATTCTAATTAGCTAATTGGCCCAGACACCCATCCCCTTCCTGGATGAGACTGTAACTATGATTATCAGCTGCTTCTGTTGCGGGTGTCTGCAAATTAGGAGTCCCTTTCAGGCCCCATACAAAACTTCACAAGCTTCAGCTTGGGAACACCCAATCTAAGTGTTTAATATTCAAGCTGTTGCAGCAGTCAGAGCTGAGGGCAGCTGCTCTTCCGTTAGTTGGCCACTGTATGTTTGCATGTCGCTTTCTCCTTTCTGCTTCTTCTCCCTTGCTTTCTTGGCAGTCCTGCTGACTTGCCAGGCTTCACAGCAACTGGCATCCAGCCCTCCCACTTTGTCCTTCTAGATATGAAAAACACAGCCTGTTTCTGAAAGCACAGGCTTGATGAAGGAGACTGTACTTAAATGTACTGGCTTGGTGATGCAGACATTTCCAGTAGGAGCTCACTTTTGTGATGAATGTCTTTGGTAGTGTTGTCCAGTTCTTTCTCTGCTACTGGAAATCTGACTACATGAACATACTAAAAATGCCAGGGCTGAGGGTGCCACAGGCTCTCCCCTGTGAATCTGCTCCAAAGGCATTGAAGTTACAGGAAGTCTTGTCTCTGGCTTTGACGGATTTTGAAATAGACCCTGAAAAAGAACAAATAATGTTTGGAAATGTCTACAAATAAAGCCAAGCTCTCCAAGTGAGTCTACTCTTGGCAATTTCTATAGCAATGTGCATTTTTTTCCTAATCTACGGTTGCTATAAGTTACTCTTCAGCTGCCTGCAGCAGATGGAGAGTGGAAGAAAGACAATTTCCCTTTTTGGCGGTTTGTTGATTTTTTATACTTTAGTGCAGGAAAGCATTCTGTCAGTTTATTCTGTTTACCACAAGATTGAGAAAAGCATTTACATGAAAAAAAATACTGCTTTTAAGGCATTAAAATTAGCAGCTGGAGTCTTCAGGAAGAGAGAAACTTCTGAAAACCCTTTTCACTCATAAGTGAGAATTCACTTGATGTCAAGTAAACTGTGCTCCTTGAACTTACCTTGTTGTGGGAAACATGTCTTTTGCATTCTTCCTCAACAGAAAGACATTCTTTTAAAAACAGCTTTCTTATGCCAGAAGTCATTGACTTTGGAGTGGTCCTGTTCTGTACCCCAGTGCAGATCACAGATCACAGCTGCATCATGACAGCCTGAGAAATTCCTGTGATTCAAACTGCAGCACTGCAGAATAGCTTGACAATCCATAATAGAGACCAGAAAGTGCTAGATTTGAAGAATTAAGGAAGTGAAGAGCTGCCAAAGAGAAGGAATAAATCACACCCCTGTTCATTTTGGCTGTTGTTCATTTGCCTTGAGGAAGAACAAGTAAATATACTCTCTATAGAGGAAGATTTTACCCTCTTTACATTCCTGAATATTACTGAATGTGATACACAGATTTTTATCAGGAATATAAACGTCTCTGTGTTCTATTTATTGAATAAACATAAATAGAAAACTGATTTCTATTACTTTGACTTTGAGGTAGAAAAAAGATTATTTTCAGGTATCATGAACTTGAGACAAGATTTTGACTAGCCCATTTTACTGTGTCATGTAAACTTCTGCAATGTGAAGAACATTGTTACCCTGATAGGTAGGAGGTACTATCCTGAGCAGACTCTACACCTACACCTTCCATCTCTTCAGCTGGCTTTAAAAATGCACATTTGCCAATTAGTTTAAGAAGGTGGATCACAACCCCACTTCCTTCCTTGCTGCTCTCCTGTGCTGCTTTTCCTGATGGTGAGACCCAGTTATTGCTGACTGAAAAGGGTTTGGTCTTGTTGCTTCTACTGTCTAATTTTCCATGAGGCAACACACTGAACTTACCAGTGATCCCTGCCAAGTTGCAATATTGATGTTATCTTGTTTATAAAAACAGGGAAACCAATTCTTATCTGTACAGGGTGCAATAATTAAATTAGACGTTATGCCTGGCATGATGGGGTCAGGATAAAGATGAGTAGGATTACATTCAGGAGCTGTTGGTTTGAACATAATTTCTGTTTATAGGATGTGTATGGTTACCTGGATAAGTCACCTGGATAAGTCCTTGACAATCTTCTCATAGGAACTGTCCCCATGGAAGTGTCTGGCATTGCCTTTAGGCTCATAGCTGGCCTTCCCTCACTGCCACAGCTGATGCCTCAATCCCTGCCTCTTTCCCAGATATTTCCTCTGTGTTATTACCTTTCAGAGCAGAACTTTGACTGTTAGCAAGACAGGGATAGTGGGCCCCATAAGGACATTTACTAAGCTGTGGTTATCAATGGCCAAATGGAGCCCCAAGTTCACACAGAAAGGAGCAGAACCTGATGACACCTCATGTGTCCTTGTGATCATGTCTGACTAAATGGCACAATTCAGATCTGCCATTCCCTTAATATCTTAATTAGAGAACTGTTCAAAGCATTATATGTGCCCTCTTTGAGTAAAACATTAACTGGAAGATACAAATGGACTGAACTTTGACCAGCACACACAGAGGTAAAATAAGTTGCTTGTATCTGAATTTACAGCCATCATTTACAGCCACTGTCTGCAGTCTCTCCAGATTTCCCTAAGTGTAAAATTGGCCAGACTTCTAAGGTGTTTCAGTTTCCACCTCTTGTTTGTTTTATTTATTTTGGTTATACATTTTTCTTCTGCTAATTATGAGCTATTTCAGAGCTTACAGGGCATGGAAACAGAGAGGGAAGAAAGCTCTGTTACAAGTTTTCATTGACAATGTCTCTTACGAGTAGATATCCAACAGCTTACAAAAGAGATCAGTTTCACAACCCCCATAATGAGAGGACTGGAGGCCCAGCAGCCTCTGTGTTCAAGAACACTGTTTTTGTATTAAGCCCTCTACACTCTGTTGCCATTTACTAAAACTAGAAAGCAGTCCTTTTGAGTTTTTGTTTATGTTCCCCCAAAGATGTACAGTAGGCTACCAGGTAGGATAGAGTGCCTCAACATTAACTTCTGTCTTTGTAACCGTTTGTTATCCCATTTCTACAGCTTCAGTCATGGAAGTGAATGACAACCTTCCCATTGTCATTCTGCCCACTTGAAAACACATGACTGAACTGTATAATTTACATATTAAAACATGTAAATAGGAATGTTGAAAGGTGCAGATAAGGTTATAGAAGTCTTACAGTGAGGAAGTTGATGCGGGTACTGTGGTTGTTTATTTGTTTTAAGGTCTAGTGTTTAAATATTTGGGCATTATGATCACTGGGCAGGTTCAGTCTGATGGATCCCAGTATGGGTAGGCCAACAATGCCTCAGCATTTGAAGAGTTTTCATATTAAGTTACATTATATAATTATTCTAATGTACAATTCAGTATTTCTCATGATAGGTAATAAAACTATGGCTGTAAAAAAGCAATACTTTTGTTTATCTAAGAAATTGTGAA